CACACCTCTTCTACCTGTCAGTTCTTTCTAATGTGGTGGTGGACGTTTTATTTGTGGAATGTTGAGATGTATGGGAAGTTGAGTGTGGGTGGTGTTGTGAGGGCATTCATCAGAGAAGACTGCTCCGACATGGGTTTAAGCTAGTAGAAAATCTTTATGAGCTGGCTGGCGACTACGGGGTGTTTTGGATCCCATTGTATACCTGAGCCTTTCTCGGGGTGAGCTTTTAAGCACAAAAACCATCTCCTGGGTTAACATACTTCAGTTAACAAGAACAGTTAGCCAGAAGTAGAACTACAAAAGCCAAAAAGCAAGGTTAGTACATTTTCCACAACTATGGACTTTGATGGATTAAGCCTTTGTTTTAGTTTTGGCAGATGGTGCTATGTGCTGAGTTTTATAGCCTGAATGGTACTTTCCACCATGTAGTCAGTTGTGCTAGGGTCCCAGGGCCTACTAATGCCTGGGGCCCTGTTACAGGTGGCTTACTTATTTAATTCTTCCAAGGTGGGGAACCCGACTGCAAAACAGTGTGGGGGGGGGATTTGTTGGGGGAAATTCCGGACTGCGATTAGGGTGATGTTTACAGGGTATAAGTAATCCGTCGGAACTCACTGAACTATATGAATAAAATAGGCCTTTTTAAAAAGCTATGCAAGAAAAAACACAGTACAAGATATGTCTTATGTGTGAAGTATATTAACCTGGCCAAAGTCAACAACATCCGTGACTGTGATAGAATTGTATTGAGGGAATGGAGATGAGTTTGTGGGGAAGAGATGAGGGCAATTTAGGGAAGGGTTGATAGTGTGGGAGAGGCTGCCTGGTGCTAGCTAAGCCCTGCTCTCCCATCTAAAATGCATAATACCCCAAAATGTAAGCACAATGCTCTCCCTTCCGTCTGCTGCCTGGCAGCCACTCTTCTACTTTCTGCCTCTGTGGATTTGAACTTGCTCCTGGTTCAAGGTACACCCATCATGGTGGGGGAGCCACAGCAGCATGAGCTGGAGCAAGCTGGCCACATCCCATCCGTAGCCAGGAAGCAGAGAGTGATGGATGTACGTGCTACTCAGCTCCCTTTCTACATCTACTACACTCCAGGATTCCAGGAAAGGCGCAACCCAGAGCAGGCCAGTCTCCCCGCTTCAGTTAACATAGTGAAAATACCGCCCCCAGAGGGGAGTCTAGGTTCTGCCACTAACACTAACCATCACTCCAGGCAAACTATTGCTGAACTGCATCTCCAGCTCCCCACATTTTATTTATTCGTTCATTTGTCTATGCAGAGTTGATGGCTTCAAACATTTGGCTCTTATTCCTTTTCCTTATTTGTAAAAGCTTTTCAAGCCAGGCATAGTGGTGCACGCCTTTAATCCCAACAAAGGGAAGGCAGAGGCAGGCAGATCTCTGTGAGTTCAAGACCAGCCTGGTTTACAAAGCAAGTTCCAGGACAGCCAGGGCTGTTACACAGAGTAACCCTGTCTTAAAAATAAATAAATAAATAAATAAAAATATTTTTTAAAATTTGAGTGTGTGTGTGTGTGTTTGTGTTTGTGTTTGTATGCCTGCTGTAGCATAGGTATGGAGGTCATAGGCAACTGCAGGAGTCAGTTCTCCTCTCCCACAATATGGGTCTCAGTGATTAAATTCAGTTCGACAGGTTTACTGGGGCACCTCACTAATACACACACACACACACACACACACACACACACACCTCTTTTTTTATTGAGACAGAACCTTAATATCCCAAGCTAGCCTCCAACTTGCTCTATAGTGAAGGATGGCCTTGAACTCCTTATCCTCTGCCTTCACCTGGGGTCACAAGCTGTACCACCTCATCTGGCTTTATCTTTTGGTTTTTTTGTTTTTTATTGTTGTTGTTGTGTTTTGGCTTTTTTTTGAGACAGGGTTTCTCTGTGTAGTTTTAGTGCCTGTCCTGGATCTCGCTCTGTAGCCCAGGCTGGCCCTGCCTCCTGAGTGCTGGGACTAAAGGCGTGTGCCACCGCCACCCAGCCTATCTTTTGGTATTTATGAATAATGTTGCTGTGAATGTGGGTGTACAATTCTCTCTCCAAGTCCTTGCTTTTGAAACTGGCTTGCAAGTGAGCCTGGGCTTCAGTCAGAACTCAAGGTGATTGTGTAACTCAGTGGGGTAGCAAGGTGGAGAGGTGGGGAGGGGTTTGGGAAGATAATTCTTCTGGCAAAGTGCTTACTGTACAAGCTTGAGGACATATGGTCAATTGTAGCTAGAAGTTTCTCCGATCCTGGACCCGAGGTCCAGACAAATCTCTCCCACCTGTGGTCCCACAGCCCCTTATAAAATAATTACTCAGATGTTTATATTAATTACAAACTGTATGACCTATGGCTCAAGCTTCTTTCTAGCTAGCTCTTATAACTTAACTCAACCCGTTTCTATTAATCTATGTGTTGCTACTTGGCCATGGCATTACTGGTCTGCTGACATCTTGTTGCTCCTTGGGCTGCAGGTTCGAATCTCTCTCGACTCTGCCCTTCTTCTCTCTGTATCTCTGCTTGGATTTCCTGCCTGGCTGTAAGCTTTCTTCCCATAGGCCAAAACAACTTTATTGATTATCAGTGGGAGCCACACATATTCACACCATAGGAAAGACATGCCACAGCAGTCAAATCCCAAGAACCTATGTAAAAGAGACAGATCTAATTGTGCGCACTTGTAATCCAGTGCTGGGGAGGTAGAGACAGGCAGATTCCTGGAATCCCTGGCCATCCAGTCTACCTAATTGGTGAGGGCAGGTCAATGAGAAGACCCTGTCGCAAAAAGCAAGGTGGATACCTCAAGGAATGACACCCAAAGTTGACCTCTGGCACACACACACACACACACACACACACACACACACACACACACACGCTTACACACACACACAATAATGAAGCAATGGCTTAGCATGCATAAGGCCCTAGGTTAAATCCCCAGTATTGCAATAAATAAGTAAATGAACAGAGAATGGTGTAATCATGTTTAGAAGTTTTTAAAGGATCATTCTTCCAATTCTTTCAGGGAATTCTCAAAATGGGGCAGCTAACTTCTCCACTTTTAAAAAGTTAGCATCTGCCAGGCATGGTGGCGCATGCCTGTAATCCCAGCACGCAGGAGCCTGAGGCAAGAGGGCCACACGTTCTAAACTACCCTGGTTGCATAGAAAAAGCTCTCTCAAAAAATAAAACAAAATCAAAAAAGTTAGTGTCTTAGTTCGTTCCTATTCCTGTGAGGAAACACCATGACCAAAAGCATCGTGGGGAGGAAAGGGTTTATTTGGCTTACACTTCCACACCACTGTCCATCACTGAAGGAAGTCAGGACAGGAACTCAAACAGGGCAGGAACCTGGAGGCCGGAACTGATGCAGAGGCCATGGAGGGGTGCTGCACACTGGCTTGCTCTCTCTGGATTGTTCATCCTGCCTTCTTACAGAACCCAGGACTACCAGCCCAGGGATGGCCCCTCCCAATGAGCTGGTCCCTCCCCCATAAATCACTAATTAAGAAAATTCCCTGGGGCTGGAGAGATGGCTCAGAGGCAGCTAGCTTTTCCAGAGGTCCTGAGTTCAATTCCCAGCAACCACATGGTGGCTCACAACCATCTATAATGAGATCTGGTGCCCTTTTCTGGCGTGCAGGAATACATGCAGACAGAACACTGTATACATAATAAGTAAATCTTAAAAAGAAAGAAAGAAAGAAAGAAAGAGAGAGAGAGAGAGAGAGAGAGAGAGAGAGAAAGAAAGAAAGAAAGAAAGAAAGAAAGAAAGAAAGAAAGAAAGAAAGAAAGAAAGAAAGAAAGAAAGAAAGAAAGCAAAGAAAAGAAAATTCCCTGCAGGCATGGCTACAGCCTGATCTTAAGGAGGCATTTTCTAAATTGAGGTTCCCTCCTCTCAGATGACTTTAGCTTATGTCAAGTTAATACAAATTATCCAGCACACTTAGCAAGCTAGTATCTAACTTTACAGAGTAAGGTCACTAATCAACATTAAGAAGCTAATTAAGGGCTGAGGAAATGGTTCCGTCTGTAAAGCATTTACCATGCAAGCATGGGGACCCGAGTTTGATTCCTTGCACATGCGTGAAAAGCTAGGCGTGGGGTGTGTACTTGCAGTCCCGGCACTGGGGAGGGGGAGACAGGAGAATCCCCGGGGCTTGCTGGCCAGCCATTCAAACCAAACTGGTGAGCCCCAAGTCCCGGTGAGAGATCCTGTCTTAGGGAAAAAAAAAATAAGGTGGATGGCTTCTGAGGAATGATAGCCAAAGTTGTTCTCTAGCCTCCACATACACACAAATAACTAAAAACAAAAACAAGGAGAAAGTGCCACTCGGTGGATAAAAGCATTGCTGACAAGCCGGGAACCTGGGTTGGATCCCGAGCGAGACCCACGTGGTGGAATGTTCTCACATACTCACGAATACACAAATAGTAAGTATAATTTTTTTTTCTTTTTTTGGGACAGGGTTTCTTTGTGTAACAGTCCTGGCTGTCCTGGAACTCACTCTGTAGACCAAGCTGGACTCGAACTCACAGAGATCCGCCTGCCTCTGCTTCCCGAGTGCTGGGATTGAAGGAGTGTGCCACCACTGCCTGGTATAAGTATAATTTTTAAAGTAAATCAAGCATAAACCTCCACGGACTTATTGACAGTGTTCTAGTGTGACTATAAAAGTGCACACATGGGTTGGGGATTTAGCTCAGTGGTAGAGCACTTGCCTAGCAAGCGCAAGGCCCTGGGTTCGATCCTCAGCTCCCCCGCCCCCCAAAAAAAGTGCACACAGCAGTCTGTTTGCCTTATCTCCATGTTATGGATAAGTTTTCTTTGCCATCTCCCCCATTCTGAGAGCAGGTGGTCTGTGGCATTGGCTGTTTTGTTACAAGGGGCCCCCAGAAATGTTCAATGAGAGGGGTCCTGCTGAGGCCTCTATCACTCGGCTGCCATGAATATGTCCTGAGATGATGCCTGACACACAGTGGGCCCTTAAGACATAGGAGTACTTATTGTTATGCGACAGCCAGGGTGTGGGGGGGAGCTGGTTATGAATCAGAGGAGTGGGTGGCCCTGCCTCCTGTCATGGAGGGCACTGCAGCAGGGGCCTGGGCCTGGGCCCCTCTTTGCCGTCATGTTGGGGGAGCTGATGTTTCTTCTGAGGAGCTTCCATGGCTTTCTGGCTTCTTCTGGCACGATAGGAGCAGTCTTGGCTTGGCTGCTAAGCTCTAAACCAGCCTTATTTGGCTTCCTCTTCCTTCTGCTATTGCTCAGCAACTGGCTGGTCAAGCATGAGCTCAGTCGGGCTCCCTTCCAGCCCCAGACGGTGAGCCGGAGGGTGCTTAGCTTCAACTGTGGGTTATGGACACTCCGAGCTGGCTGGGGCGGGGGTGGGGGTGGGGGGGACTCAGAGAGGGTTAATGGGGCGTCAGGATAATGAGGTCTCTGAAGAATTGAAGACTCTGGGCTAAGTCCCTGCTCTGGGGTTTCCTCTGGGATGGTGGATAAATCCCTTCAATAGGGTGTGCTTTGGCTGTGAAATAGGGGCCACACCAGACTCTCGCACCCCATGTTCCACCATGTTTCCACAACACTACCAATTATTTCAAGTGGAAACAACTTTTTTTGTTTTGTTTTGTTTTTCAAGACAGGGTTTCTCTGTGTAGCTTAGGTGCCTGTTCTGGATCTTGCTCTGTAGACCAGGCTGGCCGCGAACTCACAGAGATCTGCCTGGTTCTGCCTCCCGAGTGCTGGGATTAAAGGCATGTGCCACCATTGCCCGGCTCAAGAGGCAAAAACTTTAAATGGCTGTACGTGTACATATATAATGTATAATTTTTTTCTAAAATAGAATAATGAAGACATCAGAAATGCACAAATTGTGTCAGTTAGTTTTATTTTACTTATAATCTCTACCTGAACCAGTCACCTTAGAAAGAAAAGGTTTCTTTTGGCTCACAGTTTTAGAGGTTCTGGTTCTGACTCTTGCCTGGGTGGATCCATTGCTTTGAACCCTCTGGCAGATGGGTTATGGGGAGGAAAAGGGAAAACTGAGCACATATGGCCAGGAAGTGAACAGGAGCTCTGGAAAAGAAAACAAGTCAGGGTTCCATGACCCTCGGTGAGGGCATGCCTGTAAAGGTTCTTCTCTAAGGGGTTCCGCCACTTCTCAAATACACCAGGGATGGAGTCTTCAATTTAACTCGTGGGTCTTTGGGAGACATTCTGGATCCTCACTATAGCAGATGTCTTACCCTAGGAAGTGCTGTAAGGACATCTCTGGGTGGGATGGCTCTTGATCATGTGTGTGTGTGTGTGTGTGTGTGTGTGTGTGTGTGTGTGTGTGCGCGCGCGCGCACGCGCGCGCACGTGCGTGCGTGCACGCGTGTGTGCGTGTGCATGTGTGTGTGTGTGTGTGTATAAGAGGGAAGGGGGCATTGTTTAGAAGCTTCTCTGGCCTCTACATTAGGAAACACTAATATCACTTTCCATTCCATTTGTCACAACCTAGAAAATATCCAGATATTGCCAGATGTTACTTGGAGAGGGCAAAATAGTATCCTCTTTAAAATGAACAAATGGGTTAGAGAGATGATGGTTCATCCTTTAAGGTAATTTGTTGTTCTTGTAGAGGACCCAGATTTGGTTCCCAGCACCAACATGCAGGCAAAACCACCCATAAAATAAATGATTTGGGGCTGGAGTGATAGCTCAGTGATTAAGAGCACTTGCTGCTCTTGCAGAGGACCTGAGTTCAGGTCCCAGCACCTACATGGTAGCTTACAATTGCTTATAACTCCAGGGATCAAATTCCATCTTCTGACTTCCACAGGCACCCATATGGTGGCTCCTCCACCCATAATTCCACTTCCAGGAGATCCAATGCCCCCTCCCAATCTCCTTGGGCACTGCATGCACAGGTGCACATACATACTCATAAACATAAAGTAAATAAATCTAAATCTAAAAATGCAATTAAAAAATTAAATAAAAAAGCACCAGAGGACTAGAGGTATGCCCCAGTAGGCAAAGTGCTTGCTGAGCAAATGTGAGGACTGGAATTGGGTACCCAGTACCCACTTACAAGCAAGTGGGTGTGGCGGTCCACCTGCAATCTTAGACTGTAGCAGGTGGAGACAGAGGATCCCCAGAATAGGCTGGCTAGCCAGGCCAGCCAAAATGGTGAGCTCTGGGTTCAGGAAGAACCCTTTGTCAATATATAGGGTGGATGGGCTGGAGAGATGGCTCAGCAGTTAAGAGCATTGGCTGTTCTTCCAGAGGACTCAGGTTCAATTCCCAGCACCCACATGGAAGCTCACAACTGTCTGTAACTCCAGTTCTAGGGGATCTGACACCTTCACAACAATGAACATAAAATAAAGTTAAATAAGTTATTTAAAAAATGTAGGACTGGAGAAATGGCTCAGAGGTTAAGAACACCGACTACTCTTCCAGAGGTCCTGAGTTCAATTCCCAGCACCAACATGGTGACTCACAACCATCTGTAATGAGATCTGACACCCTCTCCTGTATACATAATAAATAAATAAATCTAAAAAAAAATGTACACACACACACACACACACACACACACACACACACACACACGGTGCAGCAGTGTGCACACCTTTAATCCCAGCACTTGGGAGGCAGAGCCAGGCAGATGTCTGTGAGTTCGAGGCCAGCCTGGTCTACAGAGCAAGATACAGGACATGCACCAAAACTACACAGAGAAACCCTGTCTTGAAAAACCACCATATATATATATGGTGGGGAATAATTGAGGAAGACACCCCAAGTCAGCCTGGGGCCTCTTCACACATGAACACACATGCTCATACACATTCTAGCATGCAAACACATATACACACCATCAACATACACATTTGCAAAGGGAAAAAAAACCCATATAAAACACTAACTACCCAATTCAGGACTCTAACTGAGGAAATGACACCGGGGGAAGGGAGCCCCAGGGGGAGACGTTCACAGACATTGCAATTGTAGTTGTGAAATTTCCTTCCTCCCTCTGCCCTGCCTTCCCCTCCTTCCCTGCCCCCTCCCTCCTGCTCTTCCACTGGGCTGCATCCTGAGCACTTTATTTGATTTCTTAAGTTAACATGAGGAAGATGGGAATTTGGTGTGATATTTACCATTTTTTCCCTCATCTTTTGACCCTCATCTTTCTTGAGGTAGGGTTTCTTGTAGCCTGGGCTGACCTCCAACTCACTGCGTAGCCAAGGCTGACTTTGAACCCCTGATCCTCCTGCTTCAGTCTCCTGCATGTTGGAATTATAGGTGTTATAGAAATTATATAACCACAACTAGATTATATACTGCTGGAGTTCAAACCCCAGACTTCAGTTATGCCAAGGAAACTCTCCACCACCTGAGCTAGGTACCATCCTGAGAGAGTTTTAAAGTATTTCTTTCTGTTTTGTTCTTGGTGTTTTTTGTTTGTTTGTTTGTTTGTTTTTGAGATAGGGCTTCTCTGTGTAGCCCTGGATGTCCTAGAACTCACTTTGTAGACCAGGCTGGCCTCAAACTCACAGAGATCCTTCTGCCGCTGCCTCCCGAGTGCTGGGATTAAAGGCATGCACCACCACCACCCTGTTAAAAGTGTACAATGTTAAAGACCAGTAGTTTATAGGATTAAGGGGGGGGGATGTTACTATAAACTGGGGGGGCCCATGAGGACTTGTGAGGACTGAATGCTGAGGATGTCTAGAGACCACTGATGCACTGCAGTTTCAGGTTTTACTGATTCTGACAAAATGCTCAGAAAGATATTGAAAAATGAAGACTTTGGAGACAGACACATATAAATTTATGCCAAGGGCCTTAACATTTTCTTTAATGTGTGTGGGTAATCTTGTGCCACGGTGCATGTTGGGAGGACAACTTGCAGGAGTCAGCTCTCTCCTTCCACTGGGTGGGTCCTGGGGATCAGACTCAGGTCTGACTTGGCAAGAACCTTTAGCCACTGAGCCATCTTGTTGACCCACAGGACTTATGTCTTCTACAACTGCTGATCATTCCTATGAAACAAAGACACCCCTGGGTCTTAGATGTTTGGAGAAGGAAGTTTTGGCTGTAGGGTGATGAGAAAGTGACTTTCCCTCACTGGATCCCAGTTCTCCCAACCACAAATCATGGCAAAGATGCTGTCTCCTTGGTGGAGGGCCTGAGTATTAATTACATGGCCTGGAGGGCGGGAATGTAGCCCAGTTGGTAGAGCCTTGCATACATGAAGCCTGGGGGCGGGGGGGGGGGGGCGCGGGGTTCGATTCCCAGCACTGCATAAACTAGATGTGCATGTGTAACCCCAGCACTGGAGAGGTAGAGGCAGAGGGATCAGGAGTCCAAGGTCATCCTGGGCTATGTAGTGAGTTCCAGGCCATCCTGGGCTAAATGAGAGCCTGTCCCAAAGATGAAAATTAAAATTAACCTGGTCTGGAGCAGATGTTCTATGTTGGAAGGAATTATCATTATGAATTGACTCTTTTCTCCTGACGGGGCTCTTAGGAGGTGGCCGAACCAACAGCGGTGGCTCCATTGCTCTTTCCCAACGACACTGCCATGAACAACAAAGAGCTGGAGAAGATGAATGCTTGCTTCGCCCTCCAGGATAAGGTCCTTGAACGGCTGTTGTTCAGTGAGATGAAGCTGAACGTCTTGGAAAATCAGATGTTCATCATATGGAATAAAATGAGCCGCCGCCGCCGGTGGACCAGCAGACGCCGGAACTTCTCCAGGAGGCCGCTCAGGACAAGAAGGAATGACTCTACTTTTTCCACCATGTCTAACTATACTACCAATACCCTCACTGAATGCAACTGAAATAGGCTAGCCTCTGCTGATGTGTCTTCACCCTGTGTGTGAGTCTGGTTTTGTTGTTGCCGCTGCTCTCACAAAATGCCCGAAGCCTGGGAACTTATAAAGAAAAGAGCATTTATTTCACAGTACTGGAAATATCCAAGAACGTGATGCTAACAGTAGCTTTTTGTGAGGACTTCAAAGAAGATAGCAACTCATTGTGTGTGTGTGTGTGTGAGAGAGAGAGAGAGAGAGACAGACAGACAGACAGACAGACAGACAGACAGAGACACATAGAGAGAGATATCACTTGGTGAGAAAGGAAGTAAAAGAGAGCCAGGAAAGCCAAAGCTGCTTTATAACAACTTCTCCTGCATTAGGGATGTAGCTCAGTGGTAGAGCACTTGCCTAGGATATATAAGGTCTTGGGTTCAATCCCCAGTATTTCCAAAAAGAAGACAACAAAACAACACTCTCTTTGGCTCATCAAGTTAAGGCACTTCCCACCAGGTTACCCTGACAACCTGAGTTCAATTTCTAGAACTCACATGGTTCAGGGAGAGAAATGACCCCTGCAAATTGTCCTCTGACCTCCACACTTGTCGTGAACATACACATGAACACATACACAAAATAATAAATAAATAAAATAAACAGCAAACACCTTCTCTCCTTCTCTTGAGGTAACCAGCCCAGCACTAGACTGTTGATGTGGTAAAAAAAAAAAAAAAAAAAAAAAAAAAACCACCATGATTAAAAGCAACCTGGGAAGGAAAGGGTTTATTTCTATTGCACTTCCTTTAGGGAACTCAAGCAGGGCAGGGACCTGGAATAGGATCTGAAGCAGAGACCATGGAGGAACCCTGCCTACTGGCTCAGTCAGCCACCTTTCTTTGTATTTTTTTCTTTTGAGACAGAGTCTCACTATATAGACCCAACTGGCCTGGAACTCACTCTGTAGACCAGGCTGGCTTTGAACTCACAGAGATCCACCTGCCTCTGCCACCTGAGTGCTGGGATTAAAGGCGTGCACCACTATATCTAGCCCTCAACTACCTTTCTTATAAAGCTCGGGCCCACTTCCCAGAGATGCTGCTGCCCACAGTGAACCTGGCCCTTGTACATCAGTTAGCAATCAAGAAAGCGCCCATGGACCAACCTGGTAGAGCCAATTCTTCAGCTGAGGGTCCCTCTTCCCAGGTGTTGTGTTGATGACTAAGATCAGCCGCCACACCCCTCTTGCAGAGGACCTGGGTCCAGTTCCCGGCACCCACATCAGGAGGCTCACAACTGCCTGCAGTTCCAGCTCCAGGGGATCCAACATCCTTCTCTGGTCTCCCTGGGTACCTGCATACATGTGGGATGCACACACACACACAGGCACACACATATACATTTAAAAAGGAATCTTAAAACGTTTTGCTTTAGTTATTTATGTGTGTGCATGCATCCTGAGGCTCCAACTCCGATTGTCAGGCTGGGCAGCACGTGCCTGCCCCCACTGAATGTCTTGCTAGCCCTGAATTGTACTTTTGAACTTTGTGTTCCATGGCTCCTTAGACATGTTTCTCAGCTCTTTTTTGTCATCAGATCGTCGTGGCGGGGGCAGATGCTGCACTTTTCCTCCAGTACCTGGTTCGAGTGAATGTAGTAACATACAGCTGTGACTGCTCTGAGTGACAGCCAGGGCCTTCCATGCGACTTCCCACATGTGTTTGTGGCTAGGAATCTCAGCTAGAAAACTCATTTCAGTTCATCACACCTCTTTTCATTCTACTTTCTTCTCCTTTTTTAAATATGTATGAGTATTTTGCCTGCCTATGTATACATGCAACACCTCTGTGTCTGGTACCTCTTTAGGCCAGAAGCTGGCATTGGATCCCCAGGAACTGGAGTTACAGACAGTTGTGAGCTGTCATGTGGGTGCTAGGAATTGGATCCATGTCCTCTGGAAGAACAGCCAAGGCTCTAAACCACTGTGCAATCTCTCCAGCCCATGTTTTGAATGTTATCTCCCCGCTGAGAAGAGGCCCACAAAAGAGTGATAATTACAGTGACTTCCTCAGGCACTCCTGGTATGCAGCGGCCCGTCTGCTCTACCTGTGACTCTTGTCTTACTCAGCTTCTGCTCCCACACCACTAGGGCAGTGTCTTTATCACCCATGCACGGCTCGAGGTCCAAGAAAAGACAGTATCTGATCAAAGTCACACCATTACTAGGAGCACCGCGGGGGTTTGAACTCTGTGGTCTGGCCCGAGGGTCCTGCAATGGGTGGAGCCTAAACTGTGCAGTCCAAGGAACTTACATTTCCCCAAAAATCAAGAGACAGTGGGGGGTGGGGTGGGGTGGTGGTGGTGGAAGGGGTGGAGAGATGGCTCTGTGGTGCACTTGCTTTTGCAGAGGACCTGAGTTTGGCTCCCAGAACCCATGTCAGACAGCTAACAGCTACCTGTAACTCCATCTTCAGGGGATATGACACCCTCTTCTGAACTCCACAGGGCACTACACTTATGTGCACAAAGCTATATACACCGATACACACAAATACATAATTAAAAAGAAAATACTTTAGAGGGAGAGACAGCCAGGATGATATATCTCATGCAGAAAGAGGATAGATAATTCCTCCCTTCCTGGCTGGTGTGTGTGTGTGTGTGTGTGTGTGTGTGTGAGAGAGAGAGAGAGAGAGAGAGAGAGAGAGAGAGAGAGAGAGAGAGATCCTCCTTGTTTCTTGGGTACAGAACTTAAGAGCGATTCTCTAGTAAAATACAGAAGCAAGCTGGGACCGAGATCTTACCCATGTACATCTGCTGCCACCTCGTGGTGACATTTCTGTATGACACGGTGTGGATTCTCTTCTGGCTGAACTAGGAGTAACCCTGGCTTGCAGGTGAGAAATAGCTGCTTCCAGAGCTGGGCCAAGTGGAGTATCCAGGAGGAGCCCCGCAGAAGACGGGTGGGTGTTCCGAAGGGGAGGCTCGCAGGTCCTGCAGAGAGCTGACTCAGATCATCAGGCCTAGCTTTGACATGCTATGCTCGCCCTGGAGGACCTCATGGTCGGTCAGATTCCCGGGGGGCTCCGGTGCTCCAACCTTAGCCCTGGCACTTCCTGGGAACTTCACATCTCTGGACGTCAGCTTCTTTGGATGGAATAGCTTCTGCTTTGTGCAACTGCAGTGCAGGTCAAAGACACAGGGCCTGTAAGATGGCTAGGCAGGTAAAGGTGGCTGCCGCCAAGCCTGACAACCCGAATTCAATCCCTGAGACCCACAAGAGAAAACCAGCTCTTGCAAGTTGTCCTCTGACATTCCAGAAAGTCCACTAAGAAAAATCTAAAATCAGCCTTAGGATCAGGTTCGGGGTTTGATACCAAAGCCAACTCATGAGAGCCAGCCTTGGCAGAGCCCTTCCTGGGTGCCAGGTCCCAGGCTTCTTGCTTTACAACACCCTGCTGCTTAGTTAGGTGAGGTTATTATTGTCCTCATTTACAAAGAAACCAAGAGAGTGCCACTCCCAGCTCACAATGGTGCTCCTGAACATTTCATAGTAAGGCCTCACCCTATGCTCCTCAGACAGGCGAACTGACTCAAAAGGGTCTTAGAGGCCTGTCGGTCAGATCCTGGTGGCTGTCCTTTGTCACCTCTTTTCTACCCTGGGCCCACAGAGATTCCTGGAGGGAGAGTTCCCCCCCCCACCCCCTCATCTATAGCTTCTGAGGTCACATGGAGTATCCAACACTACTCTGGCACATCTGCCCAGCTTCCCTGCTGCTGGGGCTTCTGGGAGCTAATCCTGTAGGCAGAGGGTGGAGGGGGGCACGGGGGGGGGGCGGGGATTAGCACTGGAGAATTGAGGGCCACATCTGTCGCCTCTGGGCATTTGGTAAAGCCCATGCTGAGAACCCAGAAGGACTCTCCTGTCTCTCGGAACACGGGGAACCCTGTGAAAGGCCTGCATTGTGGGGCCTATTGGATCCTTCTGGCAGTGGGTAAGATGTGAGAGTCTGGGGCAGGTCGTTGTGGGGCAGGCTGGGAAGGAGACCTGGGGTTAAATGCTTGGGTCTGCTGGTAGGTTGGGAGTAGGTATGGTGCCCATCGGTCTAGGTTTGTCTGAGATAGGAGGGTTTTGGGAATCTGGGTCTTCCAGTGCAAAAACCAGGACAGGTCTGGACAACTGGGCGCTGTGATGGGGCTTCTGAGCTTGGGAATGGCCCCCTCCCCCCAACATTTAAATCTTACTCCTTTTTCTAGTTATTCTCTGTCCCCCTTTCTCCCAGGACCTCCCCCCTTTTTATGTGTATGAGTGTTTTGCCTACGTGTGTTTTTTATCATGTGTATAGCTGGTACCCATGGAGGGGGTCAGATGCCCTGGAATTGGGGTTACAGACAATTGTGAGTTTGGGTGCAGGGATTTGAACCCAGATCCTCTGGAGTAACAGCCAGTGATCTTAACCCCTGAGCCATCTCTCCAGGCCCTGTCTCCCCACCGCTCCCACCTCCTTTTGCATTTACCTGCCCACAGGGTCTCCTGGGCTGCCGGCCTGAATCCTCAAGGAGCTGGGATCTTCCATGCCTTGGGGAGGATGAAGACTTGGGTGAGGCTCAAACCGGAAATCACACATCACACATCATCTCTGTCAGCATCCCGGTTCCTCCCCAGTCACCAGCTCCGTGACTCCACCCTCCTTCCCACCCTGGCTGGTTCACCTGCACCCGGCACCAGAGCCTCTGCCCTTGCCTGTTTCTCTGTGGAGTGAGCACAGCAACCATGATAGCTGCTGTGCTAACACTTGTAATTACAAGACCGTTCACTGGTCCAGGCTTCCTGCGCAGCTTTCTGGGGGCTTCTATCATCTGAGCTCTCGGGAGGGGGGGGGCAGTTGCCAGGCTCCGAGAGGCAAGGTCGTCTGTCCAAAGCTGGAGGGTGAGCTTGTGGGGTCGCACACAGGAGCAGGGGTGTCCTAGCTTCATTCTGTTCATCATAGAGGCTTTTCTACCTGTTTTGGAAGAGCGGCATGGTGGTAGGATGCTATGAATAGAGCCGAAGTCGGGTTCTGCTTGTTGCCCTTTCCGGGGTGTTATAGGAGTGATGTTGCAGTCTGTCACCCTTCGGAGTCTGTCCTGTTTCACTTAGCACCATGCATTTGAGATTCACTCACGTTACTGTCTAAATCAATCCTCTATTCTTTACATGACTATATAACATTCCATTGCATGGATGCATGGACCATAATTTGTTTTCTCATTCATCGTCGAAAGACATTTGGGTTGATTCAGGCCTTTGAAAACTTGTAAGTAGAAAGCGAGATGACCCAGTCAGGAAAGTGCTTGATGTACAAGCAAGGACCTGAGTTCAACCCCCAGTACTACGTAAAAAAGCCGGGGTGCAGTGGTGTGCACCTTCAATCCTGGTGTTGAGGGGGCACACACGGGTAGATCTTGGAGTTCTCTTGCCAGCTAGCCTTGCCTAGTCGCTGGGCCTCATGTCCCAGGGAGAGACCCTGCCTCAAAAAACAAGGTGGAGAGCAATAAAAGAAGGTACCGATTTTGGCTTCTGACCTCTACATGTACACGGCATACACATGCCCCCCCCCCCACACACACACACAGAGAGAGAGAGAGAGAGAGAGAGAGAGAGAGAGAGAGAGAGAGAGAGAGAGATTCAATAAAGAATGGTTCTATATGGACCTCAAGTTCTAGAGGTAAAAAAAAAAAAAAAAATTCTGAAGCCCAGTGGGATTTCCAGCTATAAAAACAAAGATTTGGCTGGGGCAGTGGTGATGCATACCTTTAATTCCAGGCAGGTATATATCTGAGTTTGAGGCCAACCTGGTCTACAGAGCAAGTTTCAGGACAGCCAGCATCACACAGAGAAACCTTGAAAAACAATCAAATGAAAAAAGATTCAACAGAGAATTCCATCCTCTCCTTCACACTGAAGAGCGAGCCCCCCCTCCGCCCCCCGAGTGCTGTCTAGGGTCTCAATGGACGGAGGCAGCAGGGCTAAATTTTGGCCTGTCTTTTAACCTGCAGAACAGAAGTTAAACGCTTTAACTCCAAAGCATTTCCTGAGAGGCAGGAAAATAACAGTAACCGCTTGTGTTGAGGTACAAGGGTTAATTACAGGGATGCTGATAAAACTCTTAGGACAGGACCGGCTTGTGTATATGGTGGCTGTTACCGCTGTGTGAGAATGACCGAGTCAGAAAGCTAAGTGTCCTAGATGCTCTGCACCCACAAGAATCCCAGGCAGCAGGCACGACATGGGTAGCAGCTCCATGAGGGTGGAGATCCCTGAAGCTGACTCCCTGCCTCACCCCAGGAACCTGGCACAGTGCCTCGTGCCTGGTGGCCGCTCAGGAAAAAGGTCTTGCTAGGACACAGACAAGGAAGAGACCCTTTAGATTTAAGCCACCTTGTCAGGTTCAAGGGTTGAGAACTGGGCAGAATGGATTGACCACTGTTATATAATTTCCTGGGGAGACTCAAACAAACATCTCTTCACCCCAGAAAAAGCACCAATGACAGACCAAAGAAATGGTCCCACCCAAGCGTAGTTCAGTGAACTAGTGAGCTTGTGGGGTCCCACACAGGAGCAGGGGTGTCCTAGCTTCATTCTGTTCATTATAGAGGCTTTTCTACCTGTTTTGGGTAGAGTGGCATGGTGATAGGATGCTATGAATAGTCTTCTAGAACCATCCACCACACTGAACAGTACCCACGTGCTGGGGGCTTCAGGCATGCCTGCTGGGTGTTCTATCCTAGGTTCAAGATCAGGAACCTGGAGGTGCGGTAGAGGCCGGTACCCTGGAAGTGGGGTGTGGCAAGGTCCGCACTGTGCACACCCCCGGCATGTACTGAGTAACCAGCACACCAAAGGCTGCAGACCAGAAAGTGGACAGGTGCCCCTGGTGTGGAGGGCTCTCCCATCAGGGAGGCCAGCTGACCGTGGGAGGGGTGGGGAGGTATGACACTGTTCTACACTAAGGAACTTCGATTTGCTCTCCCTTATGGGTGTAGCCTTGGGAGGGACACAGGCAAGAAGAGTTGGGGAAGACTTCCTGGAGGAGGTGGCATTTCACTGGGACTCAGGATATCTTGATAAGCACATATGAGGTGAAGTGAGGTGGGGTGAGGGCATCTGGCCAGATCAGGCATGGAGAACTGAGGAGGCACTTACCCTGAGGAGGCTTCACAGCATTACAATGAGGGTACCATCCTGTTCCTGATGACCCTGGAGTCCATGACCTGTATCTTTGCTTCTTCAGGCCTGCTACCAGCCCCGTCTCCTCAAAGGGAAAAAGAAATGGTTTTTGCAGGCCCTCAGCGCCTTCCTCTTCCTGTTCTCAGTGGCCATGACTGGCTGCTTCCTATGGCAGTACCACCTCCCCAAGCTGCAGACCGGTGAGTGAAGAAGCCATGGTTCCCACCCCGAGGGCACGGGTCCTCACTGGGCCTGCAGCAGCCAAGGACGCGAGGTGAAGGAGGACAGTTGCGATTTCGACTCAGGAGCAGAGACCTCCTCACTCCACATCACACTGTCCATCTCTGGCCGGGTCACAAGAGCTCCCTGGGCTTGCTCAAGCTCTTATAAACAAAGTGAGAATCCTGTTCAGGGTTTCACAAGTCATCCAGCCTGGGGGTCAACTCGGGGTTCCTGAGAAGCTCAACAGAGGCTGGTTGATCCCCAGAACCCATGTGAAGGCTGAAGGAGAGAACTGACTCCACAGACTTGTTCTCTGACCTCCACACTCATGCTGTGGCAACCCCCAAGCCCCACCCAAATGTGGGCACATTCAGGCCCTACCCAGACTTGCTAACGTCATCACACATTTTGATGTGTCATCTGTCTGGCTACAGATGCCAGACCCGCCCAGGTCCCAAGCTGACAGAGGCTCTATCCAAGACTTTACTCCAATAGCCAAACCCCCACCATCTACTTATTTATCTGTGTAAGGAATAAACCACCCCAGGGCTAGCGATGTAGCTTAGTGTCTGTCGAACACTTGCCTACAGTGTGCAAGGCCCTGGGGTCTATCCCCAGCACTGCAAGGGAATAAACAAACACACCAAACTCACCAGCTGATTACTTCTCACGTTCTGGGGCCTGACTGGCAGTTCTGCTGCTGGTCTAACCTGCTCTCTTCAATGCAAGTCACTTGGGATCGGAGCCTCCCTCGGGTCTTGTGCTCTCAGGGCTAATTTCCCAGATTTGTCCATGTGATGACGGCCACTCCCTGGACAAGGACAGATGAGACTCACTCCATGACCAACGCCTGCATTCAGTTCTGGGAACAGAATAAACTGTCCCTGCTGCTTCAGGCATGAAGCCCCAGTGGGGTTTCAAGTCCAAGTCACCCAAACATTCAAAACTAGCTTGAGGTATAGATGGATGGACGGATGGACGGATGGATAGATGGACGGACAGATGGATGGATGGATGGATAGATGGATGGGCGAGGCTGAGCCTGTCAGGAGGAAGGGAGGGTGGGGACCAGTAGCTGAGACCTGAAGGGACTCAATCCTAAAGGTGACGCTATGCCTTGGCCCTTGGTCCCTTGGCTGGCCCGTGACTGAACATTTTCTGGGAAGCCTCCTGCTGGTGGGAGGGCCTCCAAGGCACGGCTCTGGCCTTTGCTGCAGCCTTCCTGTCCTCTGTGATGTCCCTTTGCCCTTGACCTGACGTCTTCTGTACTCACCTCCTGACACGCCCTCTAGGTTCCTTGAAGCCAGCGGTGACCCCAGCCCCGGTGAAGATGTGTCCCCGGCACCCTGAGCTTGTGCCTCTGGTTCACCCCCTCCCGGTGCTGAAGGAGGCCTTGGAGAAGGTTAGTGACAGATAGCCCAGGAGGTTGCTGGGAATGTGGTAAAGCTTGGCAGAGGAGGGATTTCCCTCTGTGCTGTGGCATTCATTCATTCATTCATTTACTCATTCATTCATTCTTTCACTCAACATGCTTTTTTGCTTGGTTGGTTTTGGTTTTCTACATGTTTTCACTGCATAATAGCCCTGACTAGCCTGGAACTTGCTTTGTGGACTGAGCTGGCTTTGAACTCACAGGTATCGACCTGTCTCTGCCTCCTAAGTGCTTGGATTAAAGGTGTGAGCTACTACACCCAGCTTTCAACATGAATTTCTTGAGTGCCTGTTCTGTGCCTAGAATGTTAGTGTTTGGAAGGCAGAGGCAGGAGGATCATTACAAGTTTGAGGCTAGCCTAGGCTATATTGTGAGTTCTAAGAAGGGGTGGGGAGGGATGGACTCCTAGTTAGTCTGTAGGTGAAGGAAGCAGTTAAGATAACACATATTTCTGATTCAGGGGCAAGAGTGAAGATTAGGAGCCTAGGGTGGTGGCCCACACCTTTAGTCCCAGCACTCAGAAGGTAGAGGCAGGAGTTCCAGGACAACCAAGGCTACACAGAAAAATCTTGTCTTGGAGGTGGGTGGGGGAAGAGTGAAGATTAGTGTCTCAGTTAGGGTTCCTACTGCTGTGAAGAGACACCATGACCACAGCAACTCTTCTAAAGGAAAACATTCAACTGGGTGGCTTACAGTTTCAGAGGTTTAGTCGATTACCATCATGGCAGGACGTGGCAGCATGCAGGCAGACATGGTGAATGGAGAAGGAGCTGTATCTTGATCCCACAGGCAACAGGAAGTGGTCTGGGGCACTGGGTGTGGCTTGAGCACATGAGACCTCAAAGCCCACCCCCACAGTGACACACTTTCTCCAACAAGGCCATACCTATTGCAACAAAGCCACACCTCTTAATAGTGCCACTCCCCATGAGCCTATGGGGACCAGTTACATTCAAACTACCACAAATAGGAAAGTTTTGGGGACTGTGGGGCTGAGGTGTAAGGTCTTGGGGGCTGGCAGGGCCCTGCATGGTCCAGGCTGAGATGTGGGCAGGGGACCCCCCATGATGTATAGAAGCTTGAAGGATGTGGGCGTGCACTCCCAACAGTGGGGCCAACATGTGAAAAGGCCCAGGGGCAGTGCAGTGAGCACAGGGCACACAGAGAGGTGGGGAAAGAGGAAACGGGAAAGAGTGACAGAGTCCATGTCACAGAGGCCACTGTAATATGCACATGCATGGGTGTGTGCACGCGCGCCCACACACACGTATACACACCAGGGCACAACTTGCACCACTTCAGGATGGCTCTCCTTGGTGCTAGTCAGATTCTGTGGTGTGGGTCACTCACCTTAGGAGAAGAGGGACAAAGGGGTCAGGGTCAAAAACATCTGGGCAGCTGTGCACTCTCTGAGGACCAGCAGAAGGAGAAGGGTGGCAAGTTCACGGAAGTTTTATACCCTAAGATAAATGATAGCCTCTTTTCTAGTGTTGCCAAAGCCATACTGTTTCCATTCCTGGACTGAGTTGTTGTTCTTAGTCCCTTACAGGAGAAGGGAAGGCAGCCCATCCCGGGCAAAGGGTCTTGGGAGACACTTTGAAACAAACATGCTTGAGTCCAAAATGGTGGAGGAGATAACCCCACTTCCACAAACAGCTTCTCAGTGAGCTCAAATAACACACAACAATTTACCAATATAATGTGCGACCCAGGGTCACAGGACTCAATGACAAACCAGCCTCCTCCCACTGAGCACTGCGGTATCAGCCATGGGCTGTGTGCCCCCTTTGTATGCATGTCTAGGGGATCCTTGACTACGCCGGTGAATCTGAGCCCCGAAAGACCGACTTAGGGAGATGCACAGGGCAGGTAAAGCCAAGGGGCAGGGTGTCTGGTAGCTGATTAAGTAGAGGGGTTTGGGAGATGGCTCAGTGGTTTGTGCAAAAGTGAGGACCAGAGTTCAGATTCTCTGCACAGGTGTAAATGCTGGGTACGTGTGGCCTGCTTGTAATCCCAGTGCTTAGGTAGAGAGAAGATCCCCTTAGACCAAGATGGCTTAGCTGGACTAGCTGAACTGGTGAGTTTGGGTTCAAGTGAGAGACCCTGGTCCAATATATAAAGATGAAGAGTGATTTAGACACCCAATGTCGGTTTCCAGCTTCTAGATCACTTGCACACGTGTGCACCCCCCCATATGAACAGAAACACACACACACACACACACACACACACACACACACACACACGAACATCATACACACACACAGAAGAACATCATACACACGCTAAACAAACAGTTTTTTGGGGACCCTCTATCTAAAACAGGGGGGAGAGGCTGCTGAGTCAGGCCCTCACAGGGGCGTGGTGCTGGGGTCGCAAGATCTGGAGCCTCCTAGGGTACTGTGTGTGTGGGGGTGACAGCTGTGGGGACAGGTGGGTCTTCTGAGGCAGGGGCCTCATTCTGAGCTCCTATTCTTTTTCCACAAGGTGGATGGAATTCTGCGCAAGGCAATGCTGGCCCCAGGCCTGGCTGCCATGTCCGCTCTTGTCATCCACAACGACACCGTGCTCTGGACTGGGAACTTCGGAAAGAAGAACGGCTCAGATCCAAATTCTGGAACCCCTAATGAGTATACTATGTACCGGTTAGTGGGGTGACCTCCAGGAGGCAGGGACATTCAAGAGGATCGTGGCTGGGGTCCCAGCTGCCAGGGCCTATGGCTCGGTCCTGATAACTCTGTAGGAGACAGAGGTCCAGAGAGAACCAGGAAGTATGAACGCCCAGTGTCACACCACAGGGGCGACAGGCCAAATGAGAAAAGGATCCATCTCCTCACCTCTCAGTGTGCCACCCAGGAGTGACAACCAGCCCCATGGCCCAGTTGGGAGCAGCTGGGGACACTTGTGTGCACTCCCAGAGCCTCTCCTCTCAGGTGCTGTCTGCAGAGTCCTCAGAGCTGCAACACTGGACACATTTGGTCCCAGGGATGCTGTGGGGACTTCAGGGTCTGATGGAGTTTAGCCTCACACTGCACCTTTGTGGTGCTAGACACAACACCCAGAGTTCTATTTATTTATTTATTTTTCCGAGACAGGGTTTCTCTGTGTAGTTTTTGTGCCTGTACTGGATCTCGCTCTGTAGACCAGGCTGGCCTCGAACTCACAGAGATCCGCCTGGCTCTGCCTCCCGAGTGCTGGGATTAAAGGCATGTGCCACTGCTGCCCGGCTCAGGGTTCTATTTGTCTTGCTTACTGCATATTCATCACCTGTCTGCCATGCTGAGTGCTCTGTGAGTGCACGCGTGTGTGCACACACACACTCACACGTATACCTGTATGCATGTGCGCACGTATCTCCTACTCCATTATACCCCATGAAACCAACAGCCAAACTCTCAGGAAGGTCTAGTAACCTACCCAAGGCCACACAGTCAATGAGAGATAGGACTCACTAAATCCAGGTCCGCCCCAGTACAAAAGGGTCTTGGTAAAAGGCCGAGCCTGGGGCAGGAGCAGAACTGCTCCTCCTACCCCAGCTTCTGGTACATTCTAAACATCCACGGCTCTCTACAGAGCCTGGGGATTCAGCTGGAGATGCAGACTAGGCTGGACTCTTGACTATGAGGAGCTGGAGGCTGGGCACAGGGTGGGGAGTGAGCCGTGAGGTTGACAGGTTGCCCTCTGTTCTCCTACCCCCCACCCCAGGATTGCCAGCATCTCCAAGCTCTTTCCCGTGCTTATGCTGTACCGCCTATGGGAGGAGGGCATCGTGGCCTCCCTGGACGACCCTCTGGAGCGCTATGCCAGCACCTTCTCCATCAACAACCCGCTGGGCAAGGCCCAAGACCCCGAACCACAGGGCCCAATGGGGGAATTTGAAGAGATGGGCTCCCTCCCGAGGCCTTCTTCTGTCACTCTGCGGAGGATGGCCAGTCAGCTGTCAGGTGAGCCTCGGAATTGCCCAGCTGAGCCAATCCGAATCAGGGGGGATTGGGGATAGGCACGGGACACAGATCCCCATCCATTAGGACTCTGCTCGGTTCCTGAATGGCCATACTTCCAACCCACAGGCCGTGGTGGCCATGGTGGAAAGAACTGAGGGAAGCCTGGGGTACTTCTTTTAGAAATGTGTGTATGTGTGTGTATGAGTATACGCCACATGTGTGGGGGTGTCCACAGATGCTGTAGGTGTGCCGGTGTCCACAGGGGTGTGCATCAGATCCGCCCCTGCTGGAGCCACAGGTGAGTTCTGAGAACCGAACTTGAGTCTTTGGGAAGAGCAGCTTTGGCTGCCAGCCCTCCAGCACTGGGACTCATTTTATTTGAGACAGGGTCTCCTGTAGCCCAGGCTGGCTCCAAACTCACTGTGTCGCTCAGGAGGACCCTGAACTTTTTAGTCTTTCTTCCTTTACCTCCCGAGTGCTAAGATTACAGGCATGTGCCACTACATCCTGTCTGTACGTTGTTGGGGGGAACACAGGGCTTCACACATGCTAAGTGAGCACTGTACCAGCCATGCTCCGTGCCTGGCCTGAACCTGGGAATACAGATCAGGCAGAGAAACGGAGTCAGGATCTGTGTATCATGCCAAGGGCAAGGCAACAAGTAAGACCGGTAGGGAGCTCTACAGTGAAGACCCAGACTCCCTGAACACACATATAAAGAACATGTGGAAAGCCACAGCCCACAGCGGACACAGGTGAAGGACAGGGAATGACCTGACATGGCACAGAGAAGGCTCTGTGAATATTGAAAGATGCCAACCCTTGTTCATCAAAACACACATGCACATGAAAACTACATTGAGGGGCTGGAGAGATGGCTCAGAGGTTAAGAGCACCGACTGCTCTTCCAGAGGTCCTGAGTTCAATTCTCAGCACCCACATGGTGGCTCACAACCATCTGTAATGAGATCTGGCACCCTCTTCTGTATAGATAATAAATAAATTAATAATTCTTTAAAAAAAAAAAAAAGAAAGAAAACTACATTGAGACACACTGTTCCTGTCAGATTGGCAAAGACCAAACAGTGGGTGCCCTGATTGGGGGGAAACCATGGAGACAATGTCCTCATCTACTCTAGTGGAGGGAATTTAAATTGATTTAAATTTAACACCCCTGTCCTGGCTAGTTTTATGCCAACTTGACATAAGCTAAAGTCATCTGAGAGAGGAGAACCTCAGTTAAGAAAATGCCTTCATAAGATCTGGTGGCAGACAAGCCTGTAGGGCATTTTCTCAATTAGACTGATATGGGAGGGCCCAGTCCATTGTGAGTGGCACCACCCCTGGGCTAGTTGTGCTGGGTTCCGTAAGAAAGCAGGCTGAACAAGCCAGTAAGCAGCACCCCTCCATGGCCTCTGCATCGGCTCCTGCCTCCAGGCTCCTGCCCTGTTTGAATTCCTGCCTCAGCTTCCCTCAATGAATTGTGATGTATAAGCCAAATAAACCTTTTCCTCCCCAAGTTGCTTTGGTTATGGTGTTTCATCATAGCAAGAGAAACCCTAAGACACCCCCCAATAAACAAACAAATGGATAAAACCTGTACGAAGGAAAATCAAATATTTACTGCAATCATTTTCTTGTCTTTTTGAGACAGGGTCTCAAATAATCCATGCTTTCCTCACACTCCATGTAGCTGAAGAGGACCTTGAACTAGTGATCCTCCTGCCTCCCACTCCTGAATGCTGCCACCACACCTAGGCTAGAAGTCAGCAGTACAGTGTGCACTTGGCGTGTGAAAAGCTCTGGGCTGAGCCCCAGCAACAAAGAAAAAAAAAAAAGAGTATATATTCTCTTTGAGAAATTTCACTCCTAGAAAATTCTACTGCAGATGTGGTCACTCTGGGTAGCATACAGTGTGTTCACAGTTTTTCACCGTATAGTGTTTATAGTAACAAGAGGAGCTGGTGTGGGGGTACATACCTGTAGCCCAGCACTTCCCAGATGGAAGCAGGAGGATCAGGAGTTCAAGGTCACATCGGGCTACATAGTGAGTTCAAAGCTAGCCTAGGCTCTTATGAGACCCTCTCTAAACACCAAAACAAGAAGAAATAACCTACATGTTCATCACTAGGGGAAAGGCAATGCAATGAAATACCATACAGCTCTAAGCCAGTGCTTCTCAACCCTCCTGACGCTGCGACCCTTTAACACAGCTCCTCATGTGGTGACCCCCAACCATAAAATTATTTTCGTTGCTACTTCATGACTGGAATTTTGCTACTGAGTGGTGTCTCAGTTTCTAAGGCCATCGGAAATATGTTTTCTGATGGTTTTGACCCAGAGGTTGAGAACTACTGCTCTAAATGAGGTTCCTTGTTTACTGATACAAAATAAGTAGGAGAAAAGTACATCTATTGTATGCTGCTACAGAAATAAGCATAAAAAGCAGGCACCTTTACCGGATAAGCCATCTTGCCAGCCTAAATATGAAATATTTCAGGATATATTAAATACCTTTGGAAGGACTGGTCTCCGTGGCACCTGCCTGCAATCCCAGCGTGGAGAGAAGAAAGAGTTTGCTTCCAGGAAGGGGAAATCATGGCCGGCAGGGGGCGGGGAAGATGTGAGGAAAGGTGATTTGGTGGCAGTCTAGGGAAGGGACTTCCCCGGCAAAGCACAGCTCCTGCGGGTCTGACCACTGCTCTTCCCTAGGACTTCCCCGAAGGCTGCGGGGCACTTCGCTGCTGTGGAGAGGCAGCACCCAGGAGGCTCTGAGCCTGCTCAGGGATGATGTCCTGGTGGCTGACCCAGGAACCAGGTGAGGAGTGTGCCCTGAAGTCTAGCCACACTTGAGGAAGTGCTTGCCCCAGTGGTCAGTGTCAGCAGGGTTCTGGGAATCACTGAATTAGAGTCCATTCTACAGCCAGAAAGCTTGAGGCCAGAAGGGGCAGGCACAGCAAAGCGTGCAAGATCTAGGCTCAGAACCCAGGTCTGCTCCAGTCTCCTGGTCCCTCATCAACTGTACTGTTTATTAAGCGTCTGCTCTGGGGATGGCGTGGTTGTGCACATCTGTAATCCCAACACTCAGGAGGCTGAGGCAGGAGGATAGAGAAATGGAGGCCAGCTTGGGCTACACAATGAGGTTGTCTAAAAACAAACAAACAAGACACAAAAAGCAATCAAGGCAACTTCTCTGCCGAGAACCTGCTAAGCGCTGGGTATACCAGCCAACACCTGACCAAGGCCCCTTCCTACAGTGTGCACTGATGAGGGACACACAGTGAAGATTTCACCACGATGGATAATGGTGTGCAGATAAAGGGCTGACCACTGAACTAGAAGTGTAGCCTTGAGAGTTTGGCGAGGCGGGAGTGGAGTGGGTGTGGGTGAGGGGGTGGGGCGGAGGGAGTTGGGGGACAGACAACACACATCAGACAGAGGCGGCTGGTGCTCCTCTGCCACCCTGGGCCAGATTCCCTCTGCTTCTCCAAATAGTGGACTGTAGTTTTCTTTCCCTCCTGGTGCCACCACACTGTCCTGGCGATCACATCCAGGACACCATCCCGATGCCCCCTTCTCCCCCTCCAGATGCCACTACAGCACGCTGGCCTTCTCGCTCCTGGCCCATGTGCTGGCTGCGCACACGGCACAGGGCGACTACGAACGCTGGGTATCTGAGCAGGTCCTGGAGCCGCTGGGGATGAGCGACACTGGCTTTGCACTGACCGGAGCTGTGCGCTCTCGCCTGGCTGCCGGCTTCTATGGCAGCGGCCGGTCCGCGCCACTCTATGATCTGGGCTGGTACCGGCCATCGGGCCAGATGTACTCGACGGCTGCAGACCTGGCCAGGCTGGCGGCCGCGCTACTGGGTGCAGGGCCCCGACGGCTGCTGCGGCCCGACAGCCTGGCCACACTGCTGTCACCGCTGCGCGCCTGTGCCCACGGCTACTTTGCTCGCGAAACCGGCACACCTTGGGAGTTCCACGAGCGGCGCGGATACCGAGTGGCGCGCAAGGACGGCGACCTGGATGGCTACGCCGCCAGCCTGGCACTTGTGCCACCGCTGCGCTTAGGGTTTGTGCTGTTGCTGGCTGGGCCGCGCCCACCCACGCAGGACCTGGTAGCCGACGCCCTGGACATGCTGCTGCCTGCTCTGGAGCGCGCGTTGCGCGATGCTGATCGCGCCCCCGCGCCCCCGCCCCGCGCGCGCCCGTTCTCTGGCTTCTTCACCTTCGCCAATCGCACCTTCTACGAGGTGCGTGCCGCGGGGCCGCGGGGCGAGCTGCGCTTGCGCCAGTTTGGGCCGCGCGTGGAGGCGCTCGTGCCTGCTGCCTTCCGATCGCTCGCCCTGCGCCACGTGCGCGGCCGCGTCTTCCAGCTGCACGTGGCGCGCGAGTTCCCATGCACGCTGCCGCTCGCAGATGCCTGGCTGTCTCTGGAGGCGCAGCACGGGCAGCTGGTGCGTTTCTACCCGTTGGATCGCCACGGGCTGGCGCCAGGCTTCGACGTGCCGGGACTCAACACTTACGGTGTGCTACGCTTGCAGCGCAGGCCGGTGTTCGGCTCCCAGTAAGCTGGGTATTCCCCTCTCCCCCTGCGCGTGAGCCCCCCACGCCCACGCCCACCCATGACTTTGCACTGCCCAGGCATGCAACCCTCTTCATGTCTTCAGTCTGTCCTTACCGGCCTGCAGCTCTCCTCTGCATGATGTCTATCCAGCTCCAGCCTTGCCCTTCCTCCAGCTTCCCACCCGAGGTTGGCAGGGAGGCCTGCCAGAGAACACAATAGTTGGCAAAGTGGGGTCTTTCTTGGATAGCTGCCGGTTTCAAACTGCCCTTACTCACCTGGGAGGAAAAGTTATACAGGACTTTACAGTAAGCATTTGAACACTTAGGCATTGCCCCGCCATGGTGATATACAGGCTAGTCCTTGGGAGAATCAGGAGTTTGAGGCCAGCTTGGAATGCAGGAGACCCTGTTTCAAAAACAATGAAATACTGAAACTTTTTTTGTGTCTGTTGAAACAAATACAAAATATGATCGGTGTTGTCTTTTAGAAAGCACTCTTATTGGGCTGGGAGTGTAGCTCAGAAGGTAGAGAGCTAGTGCAAGGCTGCATGAACACGGTGTGGTGGTGGTACATCCCTGTACCTCCACTGTTGGGGAGGTGAAGGTAGGAGAGTCAGGAGGTCCAGGCCAGCCTGGGCCACATGAGACGCTGTTTAAAAGGACAACAGTTGTTTTGTTTGTAATTGAGTTACAATTTGCCTAACATTAAAGGCACCATTAGGTACAGTTTGTTTATATATTTATTTAGTGGGGCTGCGGATAGAACCCAGGGCATCACAAGCTAGATAAGTGCTCTACCAACTGAGCTACATTCCCAGCCTGAGTTTGGACAATTTAGAGAAATATTTATACCCATCACCATAGTCAAGATCCATGAGATTTCCATCACCCCCAAACTACCCCCCTACTATTGCTCTGCAGTCAGTCCCCTCCCCCTCCTCCTCCCCTAGCCCCAGGCAACCACGGATGGGCCTCCTGTTATTTAGGATTAGCTGGGCCTGCTCTTGAGTTTGGTGTGAATGGGTTCACACTGTGGAGGTTGTGTGTGCATCTCCTCAGGTACTGTGTGCTGTTTTTGAGGTCCAAGTCTTTACGTGCATCCATAGCTCATTGCTTTTTATTCCACGGTATGGCTGTGCCGCTTTATTTATCCTTGTGTCCGCTGATGGGCACTGGGTTGTTTCCAGATGGAGGCTGTTAGGAAAAGATGTTTGTGCAAGTTCTCCTCTGTGCAGGGCTTTCATTGCCCTGGGTAAGTTTCCAGATGCCAGGCACTTTTCCGAAAGCCTTGTACCACGTTCCATCCCCACGAGGAAGTGTGTGGTGGTTCTGTTGCCCACGTATGTGGCCACACTTGGCTCTGTCAGCCTTTTAATTTTAGCCACGCTGGTAGTTCTGAAGGCGGCATATCTCACCGTGGTTTTAACTAAATTCTATTTATTGAATTGTAAAAGATATATATGTATATAAGATAGCTATCTATATATACACACACTATCTCTCTAGATACAGTTCTCCCCACTCTGGATTGATTTTTCATTTTTCCTTTTTTATATAAGTCAGTATTTATATGTGTATTTTGAGACACAATCTCCTGTAGTCAAGGCTGCTTTGGAACTCAATATGTAGCCCAGGGTGACCTTGAACTTGTGATTCTCCTGCTTCCACCTTCTGAGTGCTAAGATTATAGACATGTGCCATCACACCTGTTTATGAAGTGCTGGGTACAAACCCTCAGGGTTCTGTGCATGCCAGGCAAACTGTTCTGTTTGGGCTACACTCCCAACCCCTGTTCTTTGTAAGTTTCAAAAACAATGTTCATATGTGTATATGGTAGTTTGGGTTATGTCCTCATGAACGTAGAGTCCCTGGGAGACCAGAAGAAGGTGTCATGGGCAGGCTGCTGTGAACTTGTGGGTGTGGGTGCTGAGAACTGAATTCAGGTCCTCTGCAACAGCAGTATGAACTCCTTTTTAAAAAATGATTTATTTATTCTTATTTTACATGCATTAGTGTTTTGATTACATACATGTCTGTGTGAAGAAGGTACCAGATCCCCTGGAACTGGAGTTAAAGACAGTTGTGAGCTGCCACGTGGGTGCTGGGAATTGAACCAGGTGCTCTTAACATCTGAGCCATTTCTGCAGCTCTCACCCCAGGTATTAAAATTTTAAAGACAGGGTCTCACTACGTTGGGCAGACTCCCTTTGAATTTGAAATCTTCCTGCCTTGGCCTCCTGAGTTGCTGAGATCACAGTCATGTGCCCCTTTTCTTAATGGTGTCTTGAAGAGCAGAGTTTTAACTTTTTTTTTAGACAGGGTTTCTCTGTGAACAGCCCTGGCTATCTTGGAACTAGCTCTGTAGACAGACCAGATTGGCCTCAAACTCACAGAGATCTGCCTGCCTCTTCGTCCCAAGAGCTGGGATTAAAGGTGTGCACACCGCACCTGCCGGGTTTTAACATTTTCATGAGATTTATGCCTGTTAAATCCAATGCAAAGTTAGGGGTTGCATTCTCTCTCTCTCTCTCTCTCTCTCTCTCTCTCTCTCTCTCTCTCACACACACACACACACACACACACACACACACACACACACACACACACACACACACACACACACACACACACGAGTACTGGAGATTGAACCCAGGGCCTCATGTGTACTAGCAAGCAGATGCTCTCCCAGTAAGCAATATGCTCAGCTCCTATGTGTCTTTTAAAAGCTTTAACTTTTAATTCTGAGATAATTATAAATCCCCACACAAGCGTCAGAAATAACTAATGTAGCCTTTATCCAGTTTCTTCTCTCAGGGACATCTTGCAGAATGTTGTAAGGCATTGATCTAGTGCAGCCAAGATCCAAAGCTTTTTCCCCAGCACAACAGCCCTGCGCTGTAACAATACAACATTCCTAGCCACCTTCACCTGCTCCCCCAGCCTTACCCTGTCCTTAAGCCCTAGCAACCACAGTCTGCTCTCCATTTCTGGAATTCACATATTAGGGGGCCGGCAAGATGGTTCTTCCTGCAGAGGTGTTTGCTGCTAAGCCCGACAACTTGAGTTTGATGCCCAGAAGTGAAGCAGCTTCCCCGAGTTGTTACCTGGCCTTCACCTGTGTACCATGACACCCGTGTGTGGACACACGAACATACACATGTGTGTACAAGCACATTAAATAAACAAAATATTTAAAAAAGGGAGGGTCTGAAGAGATGGCTCAGCACTTGAAGGCACTTGCTGCTCATGCAGAGAACTGGAGTTGGGTTCCCAGCACCCTCCTTGAGCAACTCACACTGTCTATAACTCCAGTTTCAGGGGGTTTGATTGATGCGATCTTTTGGCTTCTGTGGGCACATGCCACACGCACACACGTGCACACATATAATTCTTGTGTAGCCCTGGCTGTCCTAGAACTCGCTTTGTAGACCAGGATGGCCTCAAATTCTGAGGTCTGCCTGCCTCTGTCTTCCTAGTGCTGGGATTAACAGTGAACACCCCAAATAAAATAAATTCTTTAAAAAAGGAACTTCAGGTATTAAATGGAGTTTGGAAGTTGGTAATCTTTGGGGATCCTCCCCCAGCATTTAGCGTGGTTTTCCAGTTTGTTCCTTCTGGTCGCAGAGTAGTGACTCCATGGACGAACGGGACGCTATTTGTCTAACCACTCACTTCTTGAAGGATGTCTGGGTTGTTTTGTATTCCTATGAATAAAGCTGCTATGAGCATTTGTTTACCCACATTTGTGTGAACTTGCTCTTATTTCTCTGGGATAAGTGCCCCAGGAACGCAAAGGATTGGGGGCCAAGGGAAGTCTCTGCTGAGTTTTTGAAGTAGCTGCCACACTGCTGGTCGGCCCTCTACCTAGTGAGATGGGAGTCCCCCACCATCCTGGCCAGCATTTGACAAGGTCTCATCGTGGTCCAGGCTGGCCTCAAACTTGTGGTCCCTTGGATAAGCTCTCCATTGCTGGGATTCCAGGCTTGCGATACCATGCCCAGCTTATTTTAATCATTTTAATAGATGTCACTGTGGTTTTAATTTACAATTTCCTAAAAGCTAATGATGTTGAAATTTTTCATGTGCCCCCCCCCACACACACATAGTACATCCATCTTTTTGTCTTTGCTCTAGAGGATTGCTAGTCATGTGTTGGTTACATGGTTTACAAGCATCTTCTGGTATGTAGCTCATCATTCTGTCCTCTTAGGATCCTTTTGCAGAGCAATGCTTTAAAAATGTTGACCAGGGCTACACAGAGAAATCCTGCCTCAAAAAAAATGAAAAGGAGAAGAAAAAGAAAGAAAAAAGTTCATCTAAATAATGTCTCCCATCTCAATATACACATTCTAAAACTAGTGTGTATCATTACATGGAAAGGACTTCAGATGGCCTTAAGCTAAAGAGCTGTGTGTGTGTGTGTGTGTGTGTGTGTGTGTGTGTGTGTGTGTGAATATGAAGGCCAAAGGGCGATATCAGTTTGTAACACGAATCTTGAAAGGTCTTAATAAAAAAAAACCAAAAAACCGGGAGCCAGATATTGGGACGAAAGCTGAAAGATCAGAGAAGCAGAACAGCCACAGCCAACTTCACCTCGCCAACTCCTCAGCCGATCCCGTTTCCATGAATCCTCAGACTGAAAGCCTTGAGTCCTCACCCCTGAGGGTCTCAGTTGAACTGCTGCTTAGTTCCTGTCTCTTCACGTCTCCGTTCTCCACCCAGCCATGTCACTTCCTGAGATTAAAGGCGTGTGTGCTTCCCAAGCAAAGACATGAGATCTCAAGTGCTGGGATTAAAGGCATGTGCCTCTACTGCCTGATTCTGCTCCCAGTGTGGCCTTGAACTCCCAAGTGATAGGATTAAGGGTGTGTGCCACCACTGTCTGGCCTCTATGTCTAGTGGCCGACTCTGTCTTCTGATCCCCAGATAAGTTTATTAGGGTACACAATATATCATCACATTTAGGGTACACAATATATCACCACATTTAGGGTACACATCAGTTGTCCTCATCTGTCACCCTTTGCCTTACAGTTGAGACAGTCTCTCACTGAACCGGAAGCTCACTGACCAGCTAGGTTGGCTGGTCAGCAAGTCCCAGGCTCCTCGTGCCTCTGCCTCCCTAACGCCATGATTGGCATCCCTTCCGCAGCTGCTTCTCCATGGTGTCGGGTGGAGAACACGGGTCCTCACGCTCGCACAAAAAGCATTTTCCCCAGCCAGCCATCTCCTCGGGGCCTGTCGTTTCTCTTCTCTTATTATTTCATTCCTTATCATTATTAGTATTATTTCACTCCTTGGCTTACTTTAGTGTGCCTGACATTTTTATTTTCCTTCATGTTTTCCCTGCATGTCTGCATGTGCATGCACCATGTGCATTTCTGGTGCCCAAGGAGGCCAGAAGGTGGCAACGGATCCTCTGGAACTAGTTAGACGGTTGTGAGAGGCCACATGGGTGCTGGGAACCAAATGTAAATAAATCTTTAGAAGTTCAATGTCATCCTCAGCTATATTCCAAGTTTTCAGTCAGCCTGGAACACATGAGAACTTCCCTGTCTCGAACACATACACAGATGGACTGGTGAGATGGGGCAGCAGATAAAGGCCCCTGCAGTCAAGCCTGAGGAGCTGAGCTTGACCCACAGAATCCATATGACAGAAATGACTGTTCTGTCTCTGACCCCTTCATGCATGCTGTGTTGAATGGCCCCTCCATTAATAAATACGTTAGTCAACAAATAAAAAAAATCGTCAACAATAAAAGACATCTCTTGTCATCCACCATCTCGCCTCTCTTGGTCATCGTTTGGCCTTTTTGAGAAGGTCAAGCTCTCAGATATTTTTATTTTGAGATCCCAGTATCTTGACTTCTTGTGTCCCTCGATGTGGTGGTTTGAATGAGAAATGGCCCTCACAGGCTCACGTATTTGAACACTTGGTCCCCGGTTGTTGTTGTTGGTGCCGTCTGAGAAGTTGTGGAACTTTTAGGAGGTAGAGGCTTGCTGGAGGAAGCGTGTCACTGGGGGCAGGCTTAAGCGTCTATAGTGCCGGGTTGGAGAGATGGCCCAGTGGTTAAGAGCACTGGCTGTTCTTCCAGAGGTCCTGAGTTCAATTCCCAGCAACCACATGGTGGCTCACAACCACCTGTAATGAGATCTGGTGCCCTCTTCTGGCCTACAGGCATACATGCAGGCAGAACACTGTATACATAATAAATAAATCTTAAAAAAAAAAAAGTCTATAGTCCGACCCCCACATCCAGTTTTCACTCTCTGTCTCCTGCTGTAATTGAAGATATGATCTCTCAGCTTCTTGCTTTGCCTTCTCCACCATTATGGACTCCCCCTCAGGAACCACAAGCTACACCAGCCCTTCCTTCCTTAAGATGCCTTTGGTTACGGTATTTTCTCACAGCCACAGAGAAGTAATGAATAGACTTGGTTAACCTGTAAGACCCTGTCTCAGTTCGGGTTTCTGTTGCTGTGAAGAGACACCACGACCATGGCAGCTCTTAGAAAGAAAACATTTGGGGTGGCTTGCTTACAATTCAGTGGCTTAGTCCAGTATCACCATGATGGGGAGCATAGGCGTGCAGGCAGGTGTGCTGCTGGAGCTGAGTCCTCCATCTTGACTCAGAGGCAACAGGAAATCATCAGGCTCACTGGGCGGTCTCTATCCTGAGCATAGGGACCCTCACAGCCCGCCCCTACAGTGACACTCTTTCTCCAACAAGGCCACACCTCCTAACAGTGCCACCCCCTATGAGCTTATGGGGGCCAATTACAGTCAAACTACCACAGACCCTCATTCTGATCTCTTCTCACAAAACCACGAGTTTCACATTCACTGCATTCATTCACCACTCACCACACTCCTCACTCGGTCCAGTATCACCATGGACCCAGGCCCATTGCTCCGGTTTCCAGGCTTTCCCAGACTCATCTGGCCCAGCCTCCACCCTCCACACTGATATTGCTACCCTCTAATTGTTTCCCTAACTCCAGGCTCCTACCTCTGGCTGCCCACTTGCCACCTAAGTGGCTAGGCTTCTCTAATCCCCCGCCCCCAGCCCATCCGACTTCCGTAGTTTTCCAAGTGCGGTGATTAGCTTGAACCCTCAGAGACTCCTCTGCACTGTCTCTCACTTCCACATTCAATCCGCCAGCAAATCATAACGGCTTGACTGCCCACTCGATCCAACTGCTTCTCACCTCCCAGCCTCCATCTTCCTCTCCAGAGCTGTAGTAGTACTGACCCATTTCCCTGCTCTGTCTTTTCCCTCTTGGATGGTTCATTTCCTGTATTTACTTGGTAGGCTCTTGTTCCCAGCTACCCCACATTAATTTGAGTGTTTTGTAGATGTGATTAACAGCTTCATCTATTGAGTTAAATTAAAGGTCGTGGTTTCTGTAGTCTGGGTAGGCCTCATTTAGCTAGTGAAGGGCCTTAAGAGGAAAATGAAGTTGGGGCTTACAGAGGGAGAAGCCTCACCATGGTCAGTGGCACCCATGCCCTCTGGGACTTCCTGCCTTCGGCTCTGTCCTACCAATTAGGGATTTGCTGGGGAAATGATAAATCAGTTCCCTGAAATAGAATAAATCCCCCCTCTGCCCCCCACCGAGACAGGGTTTCTCTGTGTAGTTTTGGTGCCTGTCCTGGATCTTGCTCTGTAGACCAGGCTGGCCTCGAACTCAGAGATCCACCTGGCTCTGCCTCCTGAGTGCTGGGATTAAAGGCGTGCGCCACCACTGCCCGGCTGAATAAATCTCTTAATGTACATTCTGCCAGTTCTGTCTCTCTGGAGGACCCTGGCTGACACCCCACTGACATTCGGAGGCACGGTCAGAGGGAGGGCTCCCGATGACAAGTGGAATTCCAGTCCCTGCATTCTCAAGTCCTCCAAGAGCCTGCCTGGAGCTTATGTATTAACTGTAATGAATCAGTGGTCAGACAGGTGTAAATATAGCTTCCTCAAAACACAGAGACCCTGAAAGTAATCTTCTGGAACTCGGAAAGCTTCGAGTGTTCATGTTTGTGCTTTTAATAAACCGGAACTAACTTTTAGGCAGGTGTGAGGTAAAGATCTAGCTTTAATCCTTCCGTTTAGATGGATGTTTCTACCACGCCATTGTTTTTTCTGTTGAGAGATGTCTACATTTCCATCCCTCCCCTTGATTATTTATGCATCCTTACCTTAAAGCCTCTCAATTTTTAAGTGTTTTTTGTTTGTTTGTTTTTGTTTTCTGAGACAGGGATTCTCTGTGTAGCCCTGGCTATCCTGGAACTCACTTTGTAGACCAGTTTAAGCTGGCCTTAAACTCATAGAGATCCGCCTGCCTCTGCCTCCTGAGTGCTGGTATTAAAGGCGTGCACCACCACTCAGCTTTAAGTACTTTTTAAAATAGTATTCTTTTTTTTTTAATTTGGAAAGGCCAATTTAATTTTAATTAACAAAACCCATTACTTGCATTTTTTAGATTATAATTATATATCTCCCTCCTCTTTCCTCCCTCCAACCCCAACAGGAGTTACACGACCTTGGCCCCTCCTGGAACACACTGCACTTCTGTGTGCTGACCCTGAAGAAACGTTTCCCAGAAGACTTCACCTCAGTGATGCTGCTCTCTTAATCACAGCTGACTCTTCAGCCCCAGCCGACCACACCGTGGATTCTTCACACAAATGGCCCAGTAGATCTTTGCTTCCCTCTGGAACTTCTCAAGCCAGCCTCCGTTACCTGCACTGCTCTCAACATCCTTATTTCCCAAGCTCCTGCAGAAGAGCTCACTGGGCTCTCAATACTCAGTGGCTTTTCTAGGCCAACGTTCCAAAGTCCTTATACAATCCTCCCCAAAACAACATGTTGGGTCCGTCATAGCAATACCCCACAATCCTGGTACCAACTTGTCTTAGTTAGGGTTATGACTGATGTGATGAAACACCATGACCAAAGCAAGTTGTGGAGAAAAGGGTTAATTTGGTTTATACTCACACATCATAGTCCATCATTGAAGGAAGCCGGGGCAGGAACCTGAAGGCAGGAGGTGATGCAGAAGCCATGGAGGAATTCTGTTTACTGGCTTGCTCCCTCTGGCTTGCTCAGCCTGCTTTCTTACAGAACCCAGGACCATCAGCCCAGGGGTAGCATCACCCACAATGGGCAGCCCACCCCCCATCAATCACTAATTAAGAAAATGCCCTACAGGTTTGCCTACAGCCTGGTCTTATGGAAGCAGCTTCTCATTTGATGCTTCCTCCTCTCTGACAGCTTAGCTTGTGCCAAGTTGACATAGATCTAGGCAGCGCAGCATCCCAGCCCTACCTCCAGTCCCCAGAACAGGAGCCAAGGGCTGGCCAGTTGTGCAGGGCGGGTCTCGGGATGCTCCCTGCAGAGTGGGAGGCCACCCATGAGAACACGTGGGAAGAGAGAGATTCAACACTGTGACTTCGGTGTATTCAAGGCTTTGCAGTATCCTGACCATCTCAGCCTCGAATCTGCCACATGTGTTAGGACACTGGCATCTCCATGACAGACACTGGCTGAATGCCAGCCTGAGCTGTGTTGTGAGCACAGAAGTTGCATGCCACAGATCTGGCCCTGCCGTTATAGGCTCCTATTCACTAAGCCCTCATGCTCACTTCTTATCACCACCCATACTCTATGAGTTAGACGTTACCAGCCCATTTTACAGACTTGGCAATGAGGCCTAGGTGGCTAATCTCTACCCTTAGCTCGACTGCATTGAGGATGCCTAGTAGCTGATAGTGTGTTCAAAGATGCTTCCAGATAGGACAGCTCACAGGGCTCTGACCAATGAATGATTTAATCCATTGATGGATTTAGCATGTAAATAGAAGGGCAGGGAGCCATCTCTGGGGGTAAAGGCACTCGCCACCAAGCCTGATGATCTGAGTTCAATTCCTGGGATCCATGTAATGGAAGGAGAGAACTGACTCCTGCAAGTTGTCCTCTGATTTCCAACATAAATAAGTAAATGTAATAAAACATGATTATCTGAGGTGGTGGGGTTCATTGGCGGAAGTAGTCACTGGGAGGTGTGTCCTTGGGGGCTGTATAGACCCCTCCTGTGGTTGCTTTCTCTTTTGTCTGTTATGAGGCTAGAAAACTTCCCAGACATGCTCTGCCCAAGCAAATGGAGACAAGTGACCATAAACTGAACCCTCCAAAGCCGTGAGCTAAAATAGCTCCGTCTTCCTCAGAGGTGTCCCCATCCGCCGGTGTTTGGTCACAGTGATGACACCGGACACACAAGCTTAGCTGCTTATGCCCTCTCTCCAAGGACACAGGGTCCACAGGTGGTGCAGTTTGTGTTCATAACCGGACTCTCTGGCAGTAGTGTTCAAGCTTTGCAGCTTGAATGAATGTTGGTAGAAGCTACTACTTCAATTTAACACCCTGCCTTAGCCCAAGCCAAATTCTCACCCCAGCCCCAACCTAGGACTCCATTCATAGCCCTGACAAACTCCTAATCATACTTCGGACTCCCACTCGGGGCTTCTGTGAATGCTCATTTGGTTTCCTGGGAAACTTTAGAGGAAATAAAATAAAATGAGTCCAAGAATTTATTTTTACAATTCACATTTATTTTGGAAAAGAAAAAGGTTCGGCTAAAAATACTCCTACAAAGACATCGGAGTAACAGGGTCAAGGTTGCCATTGGATGCAGCTGGTGAGATTTTTCTTGGTCACAGGAGTGGGGTCTAAAGGATCCCCAGCCACACCCCTTTTTGACCCCCGACACTGACCAGAGGAAAGGGCAGTCCTGTGAAATCTGCCAGATACCCCAGTCCCTGATTGAGAGCTGTGGCCTGTCCAGCTGAGGCTGGTGGAGGTGTGGGACTCTTGGAGAGGGTCTAGGCATCCACCTCTCTGGCTCTGATAGCAGCTGGGGTGGGGTGGGGGTGGGGGGTTCATGCAAAGACAGCAGTGGCCCCCTGGAGACCTGGGATCTTCTAGACAAAGGAGCTGACCGTGGTGAGGGCTGAGTGAGGACCAGTGGTAGCAGAGCGTAGTGAGAAAAGTGAGTGGTACTGGGATCCAAGCCCACGTGCTGGCTGTGTGACCTGGGGTGCCAGCATGGTGCCTTTCTGAGCTTCCCAGCCCGTGGTGTGGCTGTCATTATTGCACCTGTCTCGTGGAGTTGCGGGGCTGTGTCTAGAAGTGATGCACGGAGCCCCGGTGCATTGTTGGCACCGGAGAAATAGCAGCTGTGATTAAAACCAAGCGGTCATCGCTCTTCCCTGGAGTCCAAAGAGACTGCTTGAGAGTGAGGGTCCCGGCCAGGTCCACCTGGGATCGGTTGCTGAGGCATCATAGTCCCTGTCCTTAGAGAGGAGGACAGACAGACGATCTCAGAGCTCTGGGCCATTCACAGCCCTCCTTGTGGCTGGTCTTATTCTGGCAGGCAGTGGCTAGGACTGGAAGGGATGAGAGGGCTCCTCGGAGGGAGCAGGTGCCGGCAGCCATGAAAACTGCAAGTGTCCTAGAGAAGGAACCCAGCAGGAAGTTTGTATGGAGACCGGCACAGGAAATGCAGTCTGGTGCCTCTCCAGCTTCCTGCTTCCTCTCTGGTACAGGGAGATCTCACCCCAACTGACTCTAAGCAGAGCCCCACACTGGTCAGTCAGAGTCCTCCAGCAAGTGGGTACTGCAGCCTGCGTGAGGGTTTTGAAGAGGCAGCTGAAACAGCTGGGCTCTCTTTTCCAATCAGGCCTGGTGAGGGCCATTCTGAGTCTCCCTAGAGTTGACGCTGCCCCACACTCCAAGGGAGGTTCTGTATCTGCCCATCTCTAACCAGATTCCAGGATGAGGCTGTTCCCAGTGTCTGTGTTTCTCTGTTTCCCTCTCTTCTCTCTCTTCCTCTCCTCTCCTATCTCTTTGTGCTTTTTTTTTCCTTCTGGGGTCCCTGGGTTTGGGGAGCAGGGAACCATGGGGCTCAAGATGTCAAGAATTAGCACAGAGTCACCACCTAGTGATGGTGTCTCACGAACATAGGTCTCTTCCACTGGCATCTTAGGAGACTGAGTTTGGCGGATCATAGAATCTTAGGCTCTTTTAGCCCTTGGAATGCTAGAATTCTTGGCTCAGCAGAGCCCAGAGTGGATGCGGCCCTGGGCTATGAGATGTTTTCCGGCCCTTCCTCCTTGCTCTCCTTCCTACCAATGCCACAGCCCTTTTCTCCAGCAGGGGGTGCTAGGCCCCAGGTGCCTTTTGCTCTCCTGCTTCATCTCTGTCTGGGTGGCAGGGATGGGGGGGCTCAGGGGATTTGAAGGTCAGATTTACCTAGAAGCCCTGCCCAGCCTTAGTCTGGCCCACCAGGCCAGGTATGAAGAGGGCAGGCTGCACTGTGGCGCTGGGGTGTTGGGTCTCCACAGGGTGGTCCTGGCTGGGATACAGGGGCCCCTCTGAAGTATTAGGTTCCCGCTTCTTCCCCGGATCAGCTTTCCTGAGGGGGTCATCCTGCTGTGAACTTGACTCGACTGGACTCTGAGGCTGTGGGGGTCTCTTTAATTTTCCTGAAACCCTAGCCCAGTCTGAGCACATTCCTGAGGGTCCGGCTTACCTCCGCCCCTGCCAGCGACTTAGTTTGTGTCTGGGCTTGGGCACCTTATCTGATGTGAAGCTTCGCCCTAAGCTCTGCTCTGTACACTTGGCGTAGTTTGTTATAGGGGTGGGGGGTGGGGAAGAGCTCAGGGGTAGGGAGGAATCTCCCACTCTTCAGATGGGGAATTCTGACTCAGGGGGCCTGGGGGAGCCCTGGAATCCTCAAGTTCAACACTCGGGAGTGGGGGAGGTGCTGATCTGTGGGTGATATAAGGATTTACAAAACTAGCCAGTGGGCAGGAGCTGTGGGTGAAAGGCCTGGCTGGGGTCCCCAAGGAGTCCCCTCTGAGAGTCACATTCCTTACTAGCAAAGAGGGGGCAGTAATATTTTGGCACTTGGCATAGGGTAATGTGTTCAGCTATTAGTCCTTGAGGTTTCAACCTCCTGAGACGAGCTTGAGGGGGAGGTGGGTGGGGGAGGACACACCCTGAACCCACTTTGGCCAAAGTCTGTTCCTCTGCCCAACACTCCAACACTGGTTTCCCGGCAGGAAAAACTCACTGGAGCCAAGATCATTCTCCAGCTTGTTTTGTGGTAGCAGTCACTGGCTGGGAATCTGAGTCAGGGCTGGCTGGTGGAGTATGCCCATGTGTGGACATACACATCTACAATCAGAAGCAGATGGACTGAGCGTGTAGCCCAGTGGGTAGAGCACTTGCTTCACAAGCACCAAGACCCAGCTTCCATCCCCAGCACTGCAAAAACCAGGCAGGGTGCCGCACACCTGTAATCCCAGCCCTTGGGAGGTGGAGGCAGGAGGATCAGAAGTTTAAGAATGGTCATCCCCGACTGCACAGTGAGTTTGAGGTCAGCCTGAGCTATATGAGACTCTTTCCAAAAAAAGAAAAAAAGAAAAAAAAAAAGAAAAGATGAATCAGAGAATAAAAAACTCCACCCCCGCTGTCCTGAGCAGCTGAAGCGAGTCTGGTTTATCTGTGTCAGCGGTGGAGAGTAAAGAGGGTCTGGACTCCCTTCGAGTCACAAGGACTGTGATGGCTGGGAAGGGCAGGGGTGGCTGGGAAGTCCTCTTGTGGTTTGATGGCTGAACTGACTCTTCTAGAATCCAGTGCTTGCCCTGTTGTTCTCTCTAAGGCTGGACCGTAACACCATGCCCTATGTGTCTTGGACTCCCTTCACACTAACCCAGGCCTCCCAACACCTCAAGATGTCTTTGCGCTGAACTGTTGAAGTTGCTACATCTTGGCGTGACCTTCCTCTCAGCCTGTCATTTTCAAGACCGCCTCCCCCTGGAAGCCCACCCTGATAGCCCATCTCATCTAGCTTTCTCTTCCCTTATAAGCCAAAGTCGGATCCCTTTGCCTCCTGCACCCAAGTGACCATGCTCTGGTGGGCACTGGAGTGGATGCTTGTGGCTTGTGGCTCTGCTCTGCCCCTTTTAGGAGCTGTGGCTCTGAACCTCAGTGTCTCTCTTAGGTCCTCTTTGCAGGACTGAGGTTCTCCAGGCCTGGCTCACCCAGCCTGATGCTCTTGTTTTATAGATGGGACGCTGTGGCTCAGCAAGGAATGCGTCCTCTGGGATCCCCCGGCCCTAGTTAGTGACGGGTGGGTGACATCCTGTCCTTTGCGTTTGCACCACTCCCTGGCTAAGGTCTTCCTTTGGGAACCATCCCCGGGAAAATGACAGGGTTCTGGAGAACCAGGAGTGGCACTGGGGTGGGTAGTGTGATCTGGGGTGGGAGTCCTTCCTGAGCTTCTGCAGAGGTGGGAACTTCCAGCTTTCTGCTCTGTGCGGGGTACAAGGTTAGTGAATGCCCACAAGGGGGCAGCATAGAACTCTCAGGCAGTCAGAGTGGGTGGTGCTCTGGATACTAGAAAGGGTGGGCATGAGGCCCAGCTGCTAAGTAGATTGCCTAAGTGTCCTCTGCTACTGTAGTTACTATCGATCTGTCTTGCCCATGATTTCCCAGGTAACTTTTTTCCCTCCCAGAGACAGGATTTCATGTGTCCCAGGCTGGCTTTGAACTCACTAAGTAGCTCAGGATGACTTTGAACTTCGGATCCTCCTGCCTCGACCTCCTGAGTACTGAGTTTATGTCCTATGTTCCCATATCTGGTTTATGTAGTGCTGGGGATGGGACCTGGGGCTTTGTGCATTCCGGGCAAGCACTCTACCAACCTGCCAGCAGGACACCTTCAATATCATCTCAGGAACAGGCCTGTTGATACCACTAACTGCCTATCGGGGAGCTCCTGGGGTGGGCGGCACAGCTCCCTCTTACTTAGTGTGGCTCTGCCAGCCCTACTCTCCCGGAGCAGCTGGCCCCATTTCCACGGTGCCCTGGCTTAGGTTCACAAGACAGCTTTCTTCCCTCAAGGAACAAGCCTGCACTGAGCAGCCGGAAGCGGCTCCTGATGCCGGGCAGGTGGGAGCTGGTGCTTGGGGAGGCAGAGCCAGGAAGGGATTAGTAGCTAGGCAGCAGATAGCTCCAAGCTGTGTGCCCATGTGAGTGGGCAGCCTTAGTGGAAGGCGCTTGGCAGCAGGGCCTACCACTCCCTGCTGAGCAGTCATTGAGATGTGGGGGAGGACACTGCCCCATGATTGAGCAGGGGACAGTGCCTATACCCAGGACAGCCACAGTGATGTCACACCCTGGAGAGGAGACGGAGGGGCTGGACAGCACCCGTAAATTCTGAAAGCAGGTATGTGGAGTCCCAGGCCTCTCCGTGAACACGCCGGGCGCTAGAGGGTGGGTGAGCAGGCGAGCTGGCTAGGAGACACCAGCCTACTGGCTCAAGACAGGAAGCCATCTGACGGAAACACTGACTGCCAGGCCTCGTGGGGCCCTGGAGCGGTGGGAGGTGGGCTGGGGGGACAGTTAATCTACAGAGCATCAGGGCAGCTCCCACCAGAAGGTGACCTTGTGTGCTGGGACAGCTGCCATCCGAGCTGGGCGTCTTTGGGGCATAAAGGGATGGCCAATGGGCCACCGTTGGCCGCTTTGTGGGAAACTTGCCAATACTTCCCCTGTGGCTAGCCCCACTGTCCCCACCCCAGGGACAAGTCTTCTCGCTAATCCCTTCCCTCCCTCTGCTCTAAGAACAGGTGAATGACAGATGACAGGCTGGGTTATGATGGCCTTGCTGACTGCGGGGCCTTTTGTTGGTGGCCTGTGGCCGCAGTCTTCCCCACTGGACAGGTTCCTCAAAGATGCTCATCAGACAAAGGGAAAGGTCCTGAGATGAAGTGTCCCTAGGCTACCTCCCCGCTTTGACAGACTTATCTGCAGCATACACACTTCCTGCCTCTTCCTACTGAACACGTGCACACACACACACACACACACACACACACACACACACACACACACACAGTAAGTCCGAGCCCTTAGCACAGGAAGCAGCACTGTGTGGGTGAAGGGATTACATCTGTGGCTGAGTGGGGGTCCACAGGCCCCATATCACAACCACTGGACCACAGCTCACCCAATACCCATAGTCCCTGTCCTCTGGCAGGGTGATACTGAGAGTCTTGTGTGCACCCTTGCTTCTTACGTATCTGCTGTGCGGCTCACTGTGCCAGGCATTGTACACACAAAGCTGAGCCAATCCATTGCCTGCCTGTGCTTCTGATTACCCTGGGCTAGGAAGGCTACATTTCCCCTTCTCTCTATGAGTTTCCTCAGCCTGGGCCTTTTGGATCTTGGAATGGGGGTGGGTAGCATGGGGGAATGGGAAGAGCCCCTTGCAAGAGCATTAAAAGTCATTTGGCAGGTCCCAAAAGTGCCAGGGTCTTTTCTTGGAACTTACAGAGTACAGGGGTCATTTTATAACTAAAGCCTTTATTTCCATTCAATTCACTAACCGATTGTTCTGCTCAGGTTCCTGCATTTGCTCACAGGAGACTCTGTGGCCAGACCCCTTGGCTGATGATGTTCCTCTGGCCAAGACCTTCAGACCTGGGCAAAGGCCTCAGGGAAAGAAGGAGTGGGAGAGAGAGTCACATGGTCTCTGGGGGGTACCCTTGGAGGGCTGGGGTGTCACAGTGAATGATCAGGGTCCTGACGTCCCGGGTCGCCTGGTCCAGGCTCCCAGAGGTGAAATTGGGTTTTGGCCATTGGAGAGCACCCAGGAACCTGAAGGGGCCTCTATGCCTGCAAAGTACCGGATAGAACAGGGCAGAGAGCTTGAGAGTGCACAGGGAGGCAGGGAGGACTTCGGGCCTCGGAGTCCTCATCCGCCCCAGCCTGCTTTCCAAGGTGGGATGCTTGGTGAAACTCTTTCCACTCCCCCAGTCTCACTGAGGTCTCTGAATGGCCCGCGTGGCCCTGTGACAGTTGGCTTTGGTGAGGCCTGGCAGCAGTTGGGAGGAGGGAGGGGTGTCAATGAAAAGCATATAAAAATCCAGAAATGTGCATATAAAATCTCGCCCTTGGTGTATTGCCTAAGTCAGTAAGCAGAAAGCACCTTCTTCCTGGAGAAGGATCAAGTCCTCAAAAGATAGGAAATGTCAAAGTGTCTCTTCATTGTCATTTAAAAAAACCCAACAAACAAACCCTCCCCAGACCAAAGCCACCCCGATCAAAATACCCCCAGTCCACAAATCGCTGTAAACAAACCCAGATCCAAGATCAATGCTTCTCAGTGGCAGTCGTAGCTGATGACAGGTCACCCGCAGCATCGTCCTCAGGGTGAGGCTGAGCGGGGAGCTGGCACCCGGGGAAGGGCAGGGCCTCCTGCGGCCGCAGATCTGGGTGGCTGGCCTCAGGAAGATCTGGCCTGTTCAGTGTGCCCTGGGAGGCCAGGATCTCCTCTTCTGCCTCCTGAACCGTTAGCAGAAAGTCTCTCAGAGTTTTTGAAATGGTCTCCCAAGACAGAACTGTTCTCCTGTCTGCTGGTGGCAGCTGGAATGGACTTCCCCTATCTGGGGCAGCTGCCTGTTCTCTCTGCCCGTCGTGCCTAGGGCTGGGCCGTTAGTGATGCTCCAAGAAACAGCTAAGGCCAGGCGAGGAGGGTGGCCCATCTCTTCCCTTCATATTAATTTTCCTGGAAATGTTTCTTGGCTCTGGCCAGCTCAACCTTCCCAGAAGGAGTTGGAGAGAAAAGGCCTCTGGCTTCCAGTGGGACATATCCCGTGGATCTCCCAAGCCCTGTTCTTTTCTCCCCTAAGAACCATCACTGCTCTCCTTATGAGAATCCTCTTTGAACAAATGGTCCTTGCCTGTCCCGCCCCCTCCCAGATCTAGGTGCGTGTTCCCCCCATTCCCTTTTCATTCCTTTGACTTGCATGGGTTCTTGGTGTCGTCTCGTTGGCTAGAGTGCTGCTACTTGGTTCTTCCTGTTGCCTTGTGGCCTCCGGGCAGGTGGCTGGCCCTGCAGTGGACAGGGCAGCAGAGGGACCGACGGACGGGGCTGAGGAGGCGGCGTGGAGGAAGAGGCGAGCCGAGGCAGGCGAACGTCAAACCTCCACAGACTGAATCTGGTTCATCTGGGCCCGCATCACCTGGATACTGTTCAGGATTTTTTTCTGGTGGCCGGCTAGGGTGACCCCAACCCGGAGAATGTCCCTTTGGGAGAGATGGACACAGTTAGGAAAATGTATGTGTTGAGGGGGGGTGGTGGACCAGCTGCATTAACTTCCCCAGCTCCTTAGTGCTGAGGGATAGGGGAAGGATGTGGGGATGGGCAAAGGGTGTCAAAGCTGGACTGAGGGGAGGCTTTGGGGCCCTTCTGCCTTCTGCCGTCAGGAAGCAGGGCTGGGCTTGTATTGGCTGTGTACCCATTTCCTTGATTCTTCTTCACTAAACCCTGGTTTGCAGATTTAAAAAAATCTTCCCAGACTTCTGGGATTTGCCCAGCCAGAGAGCCAAGAGGCACCAGGCAGACCCAGCTCCAGATCTGGATGTGTATTACCCCTTAGTCCCTGCCATCCCTTCGGGGTCACTCACACTCCCATGTTCCCCATTCGGCTGGTAGGGTGGGTGGGGAGCAGGTGTCAACAGGGCTGGGTGGAGGCCCCTAGGTACTCACTCCATCATCATCTGAGATACAACGTCGAAGGAGGTGAAGCCGGCGTTGGCAAAGCTCTCCTTGTACTGGCCCATCTTGATGGCTTCCAGCCACTCATCCACCGTGTTAAAGCTGGTGTAGTCGGGGATCGTGCGGTCCAGCAGTGGCAGGTTGATGCTGGGGGAAGGGCAGGGGACAGGGATGGTCATGGCACATGCCGATAGCCAGATGGCAGATGGGAATGTGTGTGGTACCTGTGGGGTTATCCCTGTGTGAGCACAGGTGAGTGTGTAGGCGTTTATGCGTGAACGTGGGCCTGCGTTAGAACTTGTACAAGTGAGTATCTATGAGTGCCTGGGGAACTGGGAAAGCTGGGGGAGGCTCTGGGAACCCCAGTTATAGGAGGGACTGTGGCTGGACAATGGTGTCAGCTAGTCCTTGCTTCCTCCCCTGGGGCCTTCATCTTTCTCTGACCCTGGGTAATATGCTTCCGGCATACAGACTGCACTATCAGACCCACATGCAGACAAGGCTCAGAGCTAATGGGGACAGGCACGGTGTGCACAGATCTCACGAGGGGAAGGGCTCAGTGGCTTCATCTAGAGCAGTAGTTCTCAACCTGTAGGTCATGACCCCCTTGGGGTCAAATGACCCTTTCACAGGGGTCACCTAAGACCACCGGAAAACACAGATATTTACATTATGATTTTAAAAAGTAGCAAAATTACAGTTATGAAGAAGCAATGAAATAATTTGGTTGGGGGGTTCCCAACACAAGGAACTCTATTAAAGGGCTGCAGCATCAGGAAGGTTGAGCACCACTGCTCTAGAGTGGAGAATCGCTGGTCCAGGGTCAAGGTGAGGTGTAACAGGTACAGGCTAGCACAAAGACCTCATGGCCACAGAAGGACTTTGACTCAAGGATCTCCAGGTATGGTTGCACACTCTCCCCCTAAACCCTGTAGGACTGAGGGTCCCTGAGAGCGGGGCCAGCAGCTATGTGGCCTGTGAAAGCCATGTGACCTGTGTGACAGCTGTCCTTGGGTTCCACAGAGTAAGAGCGAGCAGGGTCAGCAGCTGCACGACCTGTAATAAGCACCTCTGGAAGGCAATAATGAGGCAAATCTAATGGAGCATGCCCTGGGACCTCAGAAAGGAAGGCCCAGGGTTCCTGAGCCCTGTCCTGGGGCTGAGCTGCTATTTCCACCCTGGGGGCATGTATGTGGTGGGTATGTCCTGAATGGGGGCATGTGTCCATTGGTGACTATGTAGCTGTGAGTGTGTGTGTGTGTGTGTGTGTGTGTGTGTGTGTGCATTTGTTTTTGTTTTTTTGATACAGGGTTTCTCTGTGTAGTTTTGGTGCCTGTCCTGGATCTCACTCTGTAGACCAGGCTGGTCTGGAACTCACAGAGATCCGTCTGGCTCTGCCTCCCGAGTGCTGTGATTAAAGGCATGCGTCACCACTGCCCGGCTTGTGTGTGCATTCATACAAATGCCAATGAGGGTACAATGGACACCAAGAGGCCCAGCTCGGGTATGAGGAGAGGAAGGAGGAACAGTGGGCAGAATCCGTGCCGAGCACAGCCAATCACCACTGTGACTCTAGACTGTAGGAAGGCTTCCTAAACGCTGGCCTCTTTCACCATGCTTTACAAGGGTCTTCCTCCACCACCCCAGACTGCCACCGGGTGGGGCCTGGACAGTACCCAGAGGAGATGGGTGGGGGCTAAAGTGAATCACACCCAGGAGCAAGGGCTTTGAGACAGGGGTAGGGCCAGGGTGGCCGTACCCAGAGGACAGGGGCGCCATGGCTTTGAGGCTGTTGGGGTTTCGGATCATCTTGTCCAGCGTGTTGACGATCTGGCCGAACTTGGGCCGATGGTTGCGGTCCTTCTGCCAGCAGTCCAACATGAGCTGGTGCAGGGCGCTCGGGCAGTCCATGGGCGGAGGTAGCCGGTAGTCCTGTTCAATGGCGTTGATGACCTGGGGGATCACAGAGGCAGAGTGGGCCGGGGTGGTTGGGGTGAGGACTTCAGCCCCCTGCCAGGAACACTCATCCCTGGAGCATTGCAGGCTTGACCCATGGAGGCTCCTCTACCTCCTGTGGCTGCCTTGGGTCCCACCACCCTCGGCAGGTCTGTCTCCTATGCCCCTCTCTGCCAACCTTGGATACCCAGTAACCTCAGGTAGCTTGTCTCCAAGACTGATCCTGTGCTGGGCTGTCCCAGCTCTTTGTTCTCATCATCCGTGAGCCCCCTGCTGGCTCTCAGATGTTTGACTCTAGGGTAGCCATATTCTCAATCTGAGTGCTCACAGAGATCTGGGTAGAGATCTAGGCCCTGAGCTGGCTGGTGATCTTAGAGCCAATCCCCCCCTTCCGTCAGAAATAGGAGGCCAAACATGGCTTCAGTCTGCTCTGCTACCATGGCAAGATTCATCTTCTGGAACTTGACCCTCTCCGGTGTATTTGTGTGACTGAAAATCCCTGGGGTGACTTCAAACTCCTCCCCTGAAGCCCGCTACAGTGTGGTTCTCAAATGTCACTCAAAGACCCTTGTGCTGAAGGAAGGCTTGGCTCTCAGCCTGGAGCACTATTTGAGAGTGGTAGATCTTTTATTGGGTGGGGCCTAGTGGGAGGAAGGTAGACTGCTGGAGGCATGCCCTGGGAGGGGAAGCTGGGATGCCGGTCCTTCTGCTCCATTCTCCTTGCTTCCTGGCTGCTCTAAAAAGAGTAGCTTCCCTCACAACCTCATCATCATGTACTATCCTCAGAGAAACGGGCCAGCCAGATACAGACCGGAACTGTGTGCGCTCACACAAACCTTTCTTCCTGTTAGGTTCACCATTTCAGGCATCTTGTGACAACGACAGGAAGCTGACCCACACAAAGCCTCCCCAAGCTTTCTGATCAAGTTCCCAGTCCAGGCTCCCCGCCCCGCCTCTCAGCCTCACCCCTGCACCTCTGCATGTCTCACATCTTCCCACTGCATGTCCCCACTGTCCGAGTGCTGCTGGCGCTGTGATGACTTCCTGGCTCACCTTGTCCTGACTGCCCTGGCCTCCACACCTACAGGGCTAGACACCTGTGCTCTGCACTTCAGCATCTGACCACAGCCGAACCCTGATGCTTGCAGCTGGCTCTCTGAAGAATCATCTTGGGGCCAATGAGAGGCCTCAGCAGGGAAAGGCGCTTGCTAGCAAAGACCTAGAACCCGCCTGGTGGAGGCAGACAACTGACTCCCACTGGTTGTCCTCTGGCTTTCATACATGCACCATGATGCTTTGGCACGCGGTGGGGATGGGCAGGTGAGCTCTCTAGTCCCCCTCTTCAAGAGTAAGGTTCATCAGCCTGGCAGCCAGGCCTTCAACCTCAGGGAATTCAGCACAAGGCCAGGAGTCCCTGGTCTTGCCCTCCTCAACCCGCCAGGCCAATAGGTCCTGCCCACATCCTGGAGACTCACATCCTGGTTGGTCATGTCCCAGTAGGGCCGTTCCCCGTAGGACATCACCTCCCACATGACAATGCCATAGCTCCACACGTCACTGGCTGAGGTGAATTTCCGGTACTGGATGGCTTCCGGTGCTGTCCAGCGGATGGGGATCTTCCCACCCTGGGGAGTGGAGAGAAGAAAGAGGTTGGTGGGTGGGAGGGTGACCTGTCTGACTTCTCCTCTCCATACTCCCCATACTGTGCTCTGTCAGATCCCAGGAAGAACCTCATTGGTTTCCAAACTCCTCAGCTGCTTCAACCACAGGACATTTGCATATGCTGTTCCCTCTGCTGGAAGTGCCTTTCCCCACACTGCCATCTGGATTCCACCTTTTCATTCTTGAGTCTCCAAAAAGCCTTTCCCTGGTTCTCAGGGAGTTTCTGGCTCCCAAGACTCCACAGTGCGCTCACGTCTCTCTTGCCTTCCAAGGTTCCCAGCCCTTCCCTCCCTTGTGCTCATCATCTCGTCTCCCTGCCTCAGCAGCCCAGGCGATCCAAGAACCCAGGAGGCTTTCTGTGGGTCCCTTCCTGTCTCCAGGGCCCAGTGAAGGCCCGAGCTGGGCAGGTGAGTGGATACACAGAGCTTGCCGAGATGGCTATGCCTAGGGACCCTTGCTGTCCCCTTACCAGAGCGCTGGTGTAGGTGGGGTCAGAGGTGTCATCCTCCAGGAAGCGTGAGAGCCCGAAGTCAGACACCTTGCAAACCAGGTTGCTGTTGACGAGGATGTTGCGTGCAGCGAGGTCACGGTGCACGTAGTTCATGTCTGCCAGGTACTTCATGCCGGCTGCAATGCCCCGCAGCATGCCCACCAACTGGATGACTGTGAACTGCCCATCATTTTGCTTTGGGAAGGGTGGAAAATAGAGTCAATGCAAGAGCAAGTGTCAGATCTGGAACGTCTCACAATGGCAGGTGTCTGTCACCTCTGCACACACTGTGGGAAGGACTCAGACACCCAGGAACCCCAGAGTGGTCTAGGAGAGAATACCAGCCTTGGAGTAAGCGTACATAGACTGACCCTGACTCTTGTCTTCCTCAGTGCAAGCTTGGACATATGACCCACTCTCTCTGAGCCTAACTGCTCACCTGTTAAACAGCTCAAACATGTGTCCCTTAGGACTGCTCTGACTTAAAACAGAAAGGTACATGGAAGGTGCTGGGACCAAGTTCATAAGCATTTGCTGAACGACAGCTGGCCCAATAGCACGCTCCTGACCCCCAGGCCAGCGCTCTTGTCTTGATGGCTCACTGTGCTGTCCTGAGGGGATTCATCTCTTGGCCTTATACTTTTGATTTTTCTCCCTTATCTTGTGCAACTCTGGAGAGCTATGAAGTCTGGTGAACACCCTGGATGGGGTGTCAACACCCCTGGCTGTGGTCTGGGCTCTCCCTTTGGTCCTCTGACCCTAGGCAAATGCTTCTTATCTCTGAACTCTATTCTGCTGTGTAATAAGAATGCCTCTTGAGCATGAAAGGGCAGGCACCTCAGGTTGTACAACCCTGAGGGAATGCCTGGGCTTCCCAGGGAACCACATTGAGAATGACTCTGAGATTGCTTCTGAGCTGAGTGGGAGGGAGCTCTGGGATTGATTAATAATGCCTGTCAGGGTAACACAATGGAAGTGGTGGTGGCCAGTAAGCCATTCGTGATCAAGAGTTTTCTTAAGATCCAATGAAGTTATGCCCAGCAGCCCTTTTCCTACCCTGGTTCACACCCCCTGGGGCTCTCCCTACCCGGAGGAAGGAGTCCAGGGAACCATTCTCCATGAACTCAGTGATGATCATGACAGGTGTGCTCTTGGTGACAACCCCTTCCAGGTGGATGACATTGGGGTGGTCGAACTGGCCCATGATGGATGCCTCACTCAGGAAGTCCCGGCGCTGCTTCTCCGTGTAGCCCGACTTGAGGGTCTTGATGGCTACAAAGATCTCTCTCTTGCCTGGCAGCTTCAAATGGCCACTGCATACCTCACCAAACTCCCCTGGGACAGACACATTGAGACAGGCATAGTGTCATGTGTCAGGTGAGAAGTGTCACCTCCCTGTCGCCTGTCACTCCCATTGTGGGTGTTTTATGATCTCATTCTATCAACACAGGATCCCATTGTGAATGTGGGGCCTAGCGAAGGCCCAGCCATCTTTGGGAAAGTGGGTTCTTCATGGCTGCTTTGGGGTGTCTTGGGGACGAGGACATGGGGAGATTGGGGGAGACGGGGACAAGACTGTGGTGGATGATGGAAAGGACAGAGCTAGGCTCAAGATCCAGTTCAATCTCCAACTTGCTGTGCCTCACGCCAGCCTCAGTTTCCCCTCTGTGCATGTGATGGTTTTACAGGATGACCTCTAAGGATCCTTTTTACTTGGGAATTCTGGATCTTTAGGAGGGTCCTTTGTGTCCCTTGATCTTCAACTTATCATCAACTCCAGGGTCACACTGTGGTCGCCCACCCATGGTCATGGTACCCTGAGGCATTTGCCACCTACCTGCTCCGATCACCTGCTCAATCTTGACACAGGAGATGTCAATTTCCTTGGCAAACTCCCGGACTGCCTCATTAGGGTCTTCATAGGTGAAAGGGTCAATATAGATCTTCATGCCTGGGGTCACTGGGGGACAAGACCAGGCTGGGTTACAAGGACAGGCTAAGGAGGCACACAAATGGAAAAAAGGCAGGCAGCCCCCCCCCCCCCAGGGGAAGGATGCTCCTATATGGTCCCCATAGGAACTGGGAAACTCCTTTCTGGTCATTGACTTCTAGATCTCACTGAGTTGATGGGCAGCAAGTAGAAAGGTAGGGGAAACAGAGATCAGAAAAGTGACAAATAGGTTCTAGTCTTGTTCCAAGATCACAGATCACTCCTAGCTTTTTGGAGCAGCTAAAAGACTGCTGTGATTGACTAGTGATGTCTGGTTTTGGCAAGGGCATAGACTAAAAGGCTAGATAGGTTTGCTGCCCTGTGATACAGAATCCAGGTACAAGGACAAGAAACAGGAAGTCATAAACAAAAAGAGGACTTGGAAGATGCTTCAGTCAGTGATGAGCCTGCCACTCAAGCACAAGGACCTGAGTTCAGATCTCTGGTACCCATGTTAAAGCCCGGGTAGTAGTATGATCATGTAATTCCAGCACTGGGGTTTGGGGGAAGTGGATGGAGGTGGGTGGATCCCTGAAGCTCAATGGCCGCTAGCTTAGTCGGATTGGTGAGCTTCAGGCTCAGTGAGACCCTGTCCCCCAAAATAAAGGACGGAAACGTGACACCTCAGCACTCACAAGCATGCATATGTACATGTACATGAACAGCCATGTGCACGCACAGACACACACACACACACAGAGCCAGGTCCATGAGCCTCACTTACCACATCTTGAGTATCCTATACTTTTGCATCCTCTCTTGAGCATCCTATACTCTTGCATCCTCACTAGCTAAGCCTCAAACCTTTCTGGATCCCTAGATTCCTTGGTGACCAGCCTGAAGTCAAACCCAGGACACACTCATTTCATTCCTGACCTGCTGTCAGTGTTTATGTGTGGATTCAGAAAGAGAAGAAGGTGTCTGGACATTAAAGTCCCCTTCTGACCCACGATGAGTCAGTGAACCACTGTGATGGAAGGAAAGGCAATCAGTCTGTCTTCCCCTTCCGACTTGGTATTCCAACATCCAGGCCTTCCTCCCGGCTCCCCAGCTCCCAACTCTCATTCTTCTCTGTGTTGAAAGCTGTTACTGGAGGCAGCCATTCTAGGACTCAGAAGCTGGAGTCCCTGGGTCCTCATAGGTCACCAACCCAGCTCAGCTGTGTGGCCCCAGAACCATTTGACTGTTTTCTGCTTCTACTTCCGACATCCCATGAACCTGGGAGTCAGAGCCTGCAGTACAGGCCCTTCTGCTTATATGACAAATAAAGTTTTATTAGAACACGGCCATGCTTATTGATTTTATACCAGGGATGCAGGGTGGAGCACTAGAAGAGACCCACAAAAACTAAACAGCTCAGCATATGGCCAACCCTAGCTCTAATACATTATCTATGTTTGTGACTGTGTTGGTGTGTGTGTGTGTGTGTGTGTGTGTGTGTGTGTGTGTGTGTGCGCGCGTGCACACTAAGCTGGCCCTTTCAGTCAGGGGTTATAAATCTGAGTCTATAAGCCTTTTGGCAGCCCCTGGATAGGTTTTGAGAGGGCCAAAGACCCCCAGGAATAAAATGTACTTATTATGACTAGCTTTTTTTAAAAATCAAAATAGTAATTCATGAGTTGGCAAGTTGACTCAGTGGGTGAAGGAGCTTGCTGCATGAGCATGACAACCAGAGTTTGACTTCTGGAAACCATGCTAAGAAAATAAAAATAAAAAGCCAGATGTGGTGGTATACATCTCTAATCCCAGCACTCCCACAGAGAGATAGGAGACAGGGAAGAGCCTGGAAGTTTGTGGGTCAGCTAGCTTGGAGCACACAGCATGGCGGAAGCAGTATGAGAGGTCCTGCCTCGGTGAGGTGGAAGGATAGAGCCGACTCCCAAAACTTGCCCTTTGACCTCCACATGTGTGTAGGTGTACATCAATGCTTAAACATAGTCATCCATATACACACAATAATAACAAATAAAAACTAGAGGACAGAACTGGGCCATGTTATTTTTAAAAAGAAATGTACAAAGTCCAAAACTGCGGTAATAAATATGATAAAAAAAAAAAAAGTATCCCTGAGTATAGATGTCTAGATTTTTCTGTTGCTGCAGAATGTTATAAATGGGGATGGGGAGATGGGTCCGTGGGTACAAGCACTTGCCTTGTGAGTGTGAAGACCTGAATTTTATCCCCAGAACCTGCACAAGGGCTGGATCCAGCAGTGTCTATAACCCCGGCACTCCTATAAGGAGACAGCAGGAGGAGACAGACAGGGAGCGCCCTGGGAAGCTAGTGGGCCAGCTAGCATGGGTCATGCAGCCAAGAAACAAGAGACTGTTTCAAAGTAGAAACGAAGCCCAACATCTAAGGTTATCCTCCATCCTTTACACACACACTGTGGCATGTGCGTGCCTGCATTTACACACATACACATGCACATACATGCACATTACGCACACACACAGTTTTTTTTTCTTTTTAAAACCTTGTAAGGCTGGAGAGATGGCTTAGCAGTGAAGAGTGCACACTGCTCTTGCAGGGGCTCTGAGTTTGGTTTCTAGCACCCAGGTTGGGTAGCTCATAACCACCCATAACTCCAGCTCCAGGGAATCTGGTGCCCTCTTCTGGCCTCCACAGGCACCTGCACTCGTGTGCACATATCCCAACACACACACACACACACACACACACAGAGTTCTCCTGGCCATATGATACAAAACTTTCAATAGAGTTGTATGGGAGCCCAAGATTTCACAAAGACAATAAGAAACACCAGCCAAGACCGAGTGCCTGGGAGGAGAGCTGGGCACGGGCTCACATCTCAGTGCTTCTCCCCCTGGCATGTTTCAGATCTGCACACAATAGATGCTCCAAGTCTGGGGAGCTGAGGATCCAGGCGACAAAGATGAATTATAGTAACAGCAGCTGTCACTTGCTGAGCCTTTATCTGAGCCTGACACTGGGCCAGACTCTTTGCATGTATTTTCTTATCTCTCCCTCGTCCTCCCAGGAGCTGTGAGACAGAACTGTAGCTCTGTGAAGCCAGTCACTCAGGCCAAGGCCACATATCTTGGAGCCCCAAGGTCGTTCAGATTTGAGCACAGGTGTTATGGTACTTTTTCTTCCTCTTTTTTAAAAAGATACTTATTATTTTTAGTTATGTGTAGGTGATGTATTCGAATTTGGTATGTGCACATGAGTGCAGGTGCCTGAGGATGCCAGAGGTAACAGATTGCCTGGAACTGAAGTTACAGACAGTTGTGAGCCACCTGATGTGGATTCTGGGAACTAAACTCCTGGATGTCTGGAGGAGCGGCAAGTGCTCTTAACTGCTGAGCCATCTCTCCAGTCCCAAGCCTGATTCTTATATTTATGGGACCAGGGATTGAACCCAGGGCCTTGTGCATGCTAAGCAAATGCTCTATGACAGAGATAGAGATCCCCAGACCTCAAGAATGGCTGTTTTTCTAAAAACATTATTTTATAGGTATGGTTGTTTTTTTTGCCCGTGTGTAAGTTTGTGCACCACATGTATGCAGTACCAATGGAAGCCAGAAGAGGGCATTGGATCCCTGGAACTACAGTTAGAGTTTGAGCTGCTATTGTGGGTATTGCAGAACCTGAGTCCTCTGCAAGAACAGCCAGTGCTCTTAACTGCTGAGCTGCTGCTCCAGCCTCAGGGATAGTTCTTAGTCACAACTCTCATTCCTGCTGGCCCTGGCACGGGCTTCCCTAACCTGGAATATGAGCCACATTTTCTTCCTTCCAAGTCAGGCTCCTCAGAGCCAGGAGAAGCCCTTTTTTGCTCAGACTCAACACCATGGGTCATGGTGCCTGGCTTTCAGCTTCTTGAGTTTCAGCACAACTCGGGGAGATCCTTTCTGACAGGCCATCTGGGTGAGGGAGGGCAGGAATGAAGTCACTCCAGGAGACTCAACAAAAGTCGGCATCTCTATGGGCAGCAGCCAGGGGCCATCCCCAGCCGGGAAGCATGTCAGGATGACTCGGGGACAGAGGCAGGCACCTCTGCCTGGTACTGCAAGCCACTCATGACTGGCCCCACCCAGCCCTCTGCTCTGTTTGATCCACTAGCTGCTCTAGTTTGGATGAGGTCTGTTCCCTAGCAGGCTCATGCATGAGACTTAGTTCTCAGCACAATGTGTGGAGGTAGTGGGCCCTTTAAGAGGCAAAGCATTGGAACACAACCCTGGGGAGGAATGGATGGAGGTTTGTGGAGACCAGTTAGTTCTTCAGAGAGATTAAAGAACAAACCCAGTCCTCCTGCCTGTCTTTCTATGCGTCCTCTCCCTGTCACACACACTCCCGCCATGAAATCCTCTACCACAGGGCCTTCAGCAGAACAGCTGATTGAGAGTTTGATTAACCTCCTTTCTTGACACATGATGCTGCCTCGGGTGTTTTGTGACAGCAGCAAACAACAGATTGCTAACACTAGTTAATAAGAGTCCTTTCCTGCTGGGCGGTGGTGGCGCACGCCTTTAATCCCAGCACTCGGGAGGCAGAGTCAGGCGGATCTCTGTGAGTTTGAGGCCATCCTGGTCTACAGAGTGAGTTCCAGGACAGGCTCCAAAGCTACACAGAGAAACCTTGTCTTGAAAAACAAAATGAATGAACGAACAAACAAACAAACAAACAAACAAACAAAAGAAGCCTGACTGGACTTCTCCAGAAGAGTCTGTGGCCGTTCTTAGGACCACGGCCCTGTTTCCACTGTCAGTCTATGACCTCAGTGTCTGTGACTTTTCTATCGTGGTCTACAGTCTCCAAACACCGTGCCCACAGCTCCCTGGGTCCCCTTTCCAGAACTCTATGGTGCCTGGGGTGTTTTACATTCTCTCCCAGGAAAGCAGAGGCAATTCTATCTTGTTCCAGACTGGTATACAACAAGCACTCAAGGAATGCTTATTGCAAAATCACAGTGGTTCACTTATGAATCCTCTTCTCATTTGGGGCCACGA